GCCGACCCAATTTCGGGTTTACGACTGCTAATGTTCAACTCCCTAGCCTTGTAATTTCGAACCAACCCAGAGGACAAGGAAATTCCTGGATTAGTACCCCCAGAGGTATGACTTGTTATGGGAACATGGAGGACTTGGTGACTAGACGGATTTAACGTGCATCAGTCACCATTTACTACACCCACGATCTCTACTGTATTACTGCACCCATACCACGCTATATCCACGATCTCTTGAACATGGGCCCAGTGCCCTACGAACCAGGCTATTCCGGCCTTAGGTTCACGATTTATAATAATAGAAGGAAATTTTCTTTCCGATAAGAAAAGGGAGAAGTTAGAGCTGAAATGGACAAGTGGTTATGGAGTGTAAAGTGGCCATTTGAGTTTTCGCCTTTTCATACTGTTGTGTGCAAGTTGCTGTCGCCAACGTTACCTGTGACATTAGATTAGGTGAGTAGAATCATCTATTTTCGAAATCAATATTATTGTATATGCGTATCAAAATTTTTGATGAGTACAGTAGGAAAAACTTAATAACTTTTGATTTAATGATCATATCATCACGTACTAAAATGCAATCCTAATGTTTCAAAAGTATAACCTATTAATTAATGTATGCAGATGATATTTTGAGCTACGCAATCAGATACGAAAACGTACCCAAATAAAGCTAGGGTATACTTTATACAACATATTAACAAAAATTCATCATATAATCCTACAAATTCTCTAAGTCGAATTTTACTAGTTTTATTATTTTTACCGTATTTTCTCTGAATCAGTCCCTAAATTGTTATGATTTTGCGTTAACTATAAGTAAACTAAACCATTGTATGCAAATTAAAGGCACTATTGCTATTATTAATAGTTGGTGTATTTATCAAATTTCTTGGTATCAAATTTCTGCGTATACTTGACAAACCAAAATTACCTTTAAACTTCGATTTGAGCATGAAAAAAAGGAATAAAAAACTGAGATATTAAAAGATTTCATCACCTTACAAAGTTGGAATTCTAATCATATGTTCTAGTTTTCTTCTGCTAAAGTCATTCAATACAGCTTTTCAGTTACTAATTTTGATTTTTAGGAAGCGTTTCATATTTTAAAAAGTTCCAATTATTCAGTTAATGATCTTTCTAATATCTCATTCTTTCCTATTGTTTTTGGAAATCTATTTTAATTTAATAACTACATCTGAAGTTCTCCCCTACTCCCACTATTTTTTTTATTCATTTTTTCGCCCAAGCTCGTTCTTCTTCTTCTATTAGTTAAACCTTTTATTTCCCCAGTGCAACATGTTTGTCTCGTATTTTCCTGTCATTTTGTGTTTCGACACTGTGTAAGGCTCGTGTTTAACGAACCGAAACTATAGTATGTCCCTTTTTTGTGCCATTATTTAGTTTTTCACGTTGTTTTGTTTTATTCACACAAACGAACTTCCTCTGAATGTAAATGTCATTTTTATGGATTTAAACTCATTTTGCATACCTTATAAATTGATTTTCGTCAATTCTTATTAAATTAATTAAAAAATTTATAAAAACATCTAAAAAATATTTATATATGAAATCATCTTTGGATAAATGTTTATGAAATTGTGAGCAATACTGTTAGATCCATTTTCTCGAGATGTCAGATAAGACAAATTTCGCATTAAAGTATCCAAACATTTAGCTACTTTTCTGGCTAAACAATTGGAACCATATTTTTTAAATTGCAGCTGCCTATCATATTTTGAGCATTCAGAATCGAAATATGTTGAAAATAAAGTGCGAAAGAAAACAAGTTTTTATATCTGTTTTCATAACTTAAGGTATCGTCTGCAGAAATTAATTAGTAATATTAAGGTAAATCAATCATTAAATCGTCATCTCGAAACACTAAAATATATTATTTCATTACGTGACAATCCGATAATTAGATCAAACGTTATTCGTGTGTTCGGTTTTTTATATCACCATTCTACACATAAAATGTAACGCATAATGGTTTGATTGTGAGTTCTTAAAATTTCACCAGTCAGTTTAAAGAAGAGTTTCTCCGCGTGGTTGCCAAGTAACGGAATTGTCTGAGAAGAAAGTTTCACTTAACACCGTAGTGTGTTCCCTGAATAGACAAATGGATTAAATGAACACCATTTTTATAATAGCCTTATGGTAAGATAATACAAGTTAACAGTAAAGCATTCCTGCAACAACCATTGTGGCCAAGGGAGTCATGAAAGTTAAGACTCCACAATTCTGTGGTCCTCCTCATGGTTGTGGCAATGTGATCAGCACTGTGCACAGGCCGCCTTTACTTCCAGACAAACTAGTACCTATCGATCTGATGTTAAGTGGGCTTCAAGCCGGTCCAGGGGATCAAACTTCAGTTTTTCACAATGGCAGTTCAGAGTCTTTTCTCTACAAATATAGCCATTTCCAGAAAAATGGACACCTAGTTTTTCATATACTCTTGGTTATGAACCAGTTTCCTGAACAGAACTATCGCTAGATTTTTAGAGGCCTAATAAATTTTTTTCTTAATATCATGATACCTGATTTTCGTTTATATTATTAAAATAAATATTCTTCTTTTCTTTTCTTTTTCGAATTTCATTCCTGAAATAATGACCTTTAGATAGGGAGAATTTAACATTTAAGGATTTAATTATTTATCGATGTTTAAACAAATCTTATTTTTTACAGTAATTACAAATCTAATGTTTAAAAAAAATGTGGAGACTAATGGTATCTTCATATATAATTACACGTTAAATAGAAACCAAGAATTGCATCTTTCAATACTAAAAAAAAAATTCTAATTATTATTTAAAAAATAAATTAAAATATCACCGCTATTTTGCTTTCATCTCTTCGTTGTTGCCTTACTGCCGCCATCTACTGGTAACTATAGATAACAAAATAGTGGCTCACAAGTAAAAGGTGAAAAATCGCGGAAAAAAATTAATACTGATAATTTAATTTTTAGACATGTATAAAATTACTAATTTTGCATTGTTAACACTTGAGTATAAATTTTGAAACTAATATTGCGTGTTTATTTTTTGATTACCTGGAATCTCTTTAAATTTAGTATTTATTTATTTTTTGATTCATATGTTAATTTATTTGGTTGTGAAATTTGAATAATAATAATAGTTATAACTTGATAGGAAATTTTATTGACTTCAGAAAATTAAACGAAGACCTCAGTTAAAGCCTACGCATTTCAAGCACTCAAAAATAGGTACTAAAAAAATCCGATCTGAAATAGAAGGATTAATATGAATATAATAGTTTTCCTCGGTTTCCTTTTCATTATAGATTATTATTATTATTACTTTCTTTCTACTAATAACAAGTTATAAAACTATCAATCAATTCATAATGATACATGAGTACCTATTGGTTTTAAATTAAGTTTATTTACATGTGAGAGGAAAATAGGAAATATTAGATATTACGAGATCTGTAAGATAATGAAAAATTAGCTTTTATCCATTTATTATGGCATCACAGTCGCCATCTAGTAGTAACATTAAATAACAAATAACCGCCAAAATTAAAGGGAAAATAAAACTATTCATACTAATTTATTTTTAGACCTTTATGAAATTACGAATTTTTCATTAATAGAATTATTAATGAAAAAATAACATTATTTCAATTCTTTTTTAAAAAGTCAATAATGCAAAGTAAAGTCAATAATGCAAAGTAAAGTCAATAAAGCTACATAATTCTAAATAAAATTTAAAAATTTGTTCACAACAAAATAGGCTTGCGCGATACTGACGCCATCATGACAACATACATTTAAATTGAAAAAAAAAATAATACTTTTTTAATTTAAAAATTTAATTAAATATTAATTGCGAATGAGGAGAATAAAATTTGCCCGGTAAAGATTTCTTTTTATTATTTGTAACTTAAATTTATTATTATTAATAATAATTTTTATTCAAAGAATGAAGAATATAGAATCTAACAAAATTGAATAAAGACAATTAATCACACTACAAAGAAGATATTATTGTACTCTATTTCTTTTTTAGGCTTTCTTCTCGTTTGGACGTCATTTGGGTTTTATTCTCGTTGATTAGCCTAACGGTATCTTTCCATCTTCGATTTAAAAAGAATTATAATAAAGAAAAAAATGCGTACAATTTTTTTAAATCGAAATATAAATCTTTTACGTTTCTGTAATAATTTGTTTACTAACAGGTTACGATCTTCTCAATGCTTACAAAGCTATCCACTCTTTTGTATTGGTGTAATTCCTCTACATTTTGACTATTAAATCTGCCCAAAGTTAAAAGAATCTCGTAGCAGTATGTTATAAATTTTCCTCATAAAAAGCAATTATACAGTTTAAATATGATTTATATTGGTCTTTTAAAAAAAATTTCTTGGATTTTATTACTAAATTAGCTTCATATGACATGAATTAGCTAACAAGATTAAATTAATAACTCCTTATGATATCGTGTTATCGATGGATGTCATACAATATTGTAATTGGGACGTCATAAATGCTTCGATTATCTTCAGCGTTCATAATGTCGATCAATATTAATCAGTATCTAACAATATCCCTGTGCTACTTGGGATGTTATAAATTTTCCATGCGACCCTAGCAATCTAGCGATTTCAGGCCTGATTAATCCAACGCAAACCGCCGAGACTGGGCTTAATAACCGAAAAAAAGTCAGCATTCGCTTATAAAGGAAGTTTCATAGGAAGGTACTTTAAAGATTCCAACAAAACTAAAAAAAAAAAAAAAATGGTAGTAAAGTTTTTAAAAGAACATTCGAAAACTAACCGCTTAAACTTTCAAGGCATTTAAGAAATACTACTACATATTTACAAGAGAATCTGTTTTCAGAATTAAATTGGATAAGTATAGCAGTGAGATTTCGAAGTTTAACAAGTTTATTAATTTAGTTGGAACGCAGGACAGTTTAGAACTACGACTAACAATTGTAATAAAAAAATTTTAAAAAAATAACAGGAAGCACAAACTTTTAAATTCAAGCTTTATTAAAAAATATTCTACAAAACAAACTTAACTTGAAATGCAGGAATAGTTTTAAACACAAAGAGGTAACAAGGCATTTACTTCGTTAACAAGACACAATTGACAATGAAAAAAAGTTACATAAAAGCAAAGTATAAGGTTAGAATGTTCAACTTTTAACAACAATAAAATTATGGATAACACTATCACTTAACTTTTTGTGACTCACAATACGTGAAAACAAATTAATCATTTAATACCAAAACTTGTATTTGCTTTAGTACACAATCTTGTTGCTTAAATTTGTTTTCAATCTAATTTTTTAAAAAAAATGAAAGGTACAAGAGCTCTGGGAAATTGATTAAAAAATACACTTTTTGAAAACTTTGCTTTAACTAAGCTTCATGCCATTAAAATCTATAAGATAAAAATATTATATTGAGAAAACTATGGCCCATTAAAATAAGAAAATCATACAAGTTCAAAAATAAACTAAGACAAAGTTTTTTACCAAAAAAAAAATAAGAAGAAAGAACCAAATTATGTTTAAATAAAACCAAATAGGTTTACGATACCATTTATGATACAGTTACAGTACCGTACAAAAATATGGTACTTTTATGTAGGTTGTTTTAACGTGATAAGGAAATAAGCTTAGATTCAATAGCGCTAGTTATTTGAAAATCTGTATACATGAAATATAATACAATTGTCAACATTTTAGATACTATACTTCTGTACAAGGATAAAACTATATTTACTCTGTATTAATTATTTAAAAAAACATTTAGAACTAATTGGATAGAAAAATGTTTTTGTACACTACTAAGATTTTAAATTATACTAATATTCCTAATAGGTTATCAACTAATCATGAATTAAATAGCAAGTTAAAAGCTGAAACTAACATGTTTAATAATTCAAAAGAAATAATAATTCGAACAAAAATATGTAAACCTTTAAGTAAGACAGTGAGAAGACCTTATTCTGCCAGAGTTAAAACCTATGCATGCAACTTCATAACCCATTTTCTCATATGCTTGAAGTATAACTTTTACAGCAGGTAGTAGTACCTCTTTTGCACTGGCCTGTTGTTGGCAACTGCAAAACCAGACAAGTTCTGGCTCAGATACTCTCCCCAAAAAGTCAAAACTGACCACTACACTTATAATTAAATTCTATAGGTTAATACAAAAATAGTATTTATACCCTTTTGTACTGCAAACTTGCATTCAAGTTCAACACGCGACTTGCATCACTGTATCCCCTTAGCAGGGTAAGCATAGTTTTGAAGAGAAATGAAATAATTTTGTCAGCACCCTTGTTTGCATTGAAATTAGCAAACAATGAAATATATTGAATAAAAATGATTTATATAAAAGCTATTGTTATACTACAATGAATTTTTAAGAATTCATAATATCAGATCACTACATTTCTTTAAAATTGCTAGTTCTTTGAATCTATTAAATATGCTTAACTGTTAATAGACAAAACAAATCAACTGGTACAACTGGCAAAGATTTAATATAATTATCAACTCGAGAAAGTGGGTCATGAATTAATGTTGGCAAAATATGGACTTCCAAATCACACTTACCAATTTCTGTTGGAGATTAAAATTTACAACAATATAAAATGACTTACTGATATTACAATAAAGCTCAATTAGCTATAAAAGCTGCATTTAACAACTGAACAGTAGACTAAAATGCAAATGATGCAACAAACGTCTTCAAATATTAACTATAAATGTACAATTCTATTAATAAAAAGAAAAAACAGTAGAAATCACAATAACTGAGTTTATTTTCGTATTAGCATAGCATTTCATTAGCTAAATAGCAAGCCTCATTCACACCATATTGTAAACATCACAACATTTAACTGGGAAAATAGAGTACCACGAAGATTACAGGAAACTGTACAATATTTCTCACTTATATGCAACTGGCAGGTTAGAATCGAGGTAGCTCTTTAAAATTTCATATAATACAGTCAACAGGGAATGCACTCACCAAGTGCTCCTCTAAATGAAGAACTCTAGGTTTTTATTAGAGAAATCCAACTGGTGTATCAATAACATCAATCTTTTATAATCCATCAATTTAACAAGTGAAAGGTCAGTCTATATATATATTATTCAATATCATACAAATTCACTTCTTAGTTGTTCAGGAATCACAAGCAAAAACATAACAGAAAGTCAGATAACAGAGGAATATTAAATTTTATTTCTTCCAATTTGATGCCTGAAATCTTCAAACTGATGAAATTTTTTAACGTGCAATCTTCTCTGCATAGCAAAACTGGTTTTTTAATGTTATTAGATAGGGCAAAGTTGTAAAGGGAAAAACATTCTTCCAATTTTGCCCATTTGCTAAACTGCCAATGGATTAACTATGCAAAATCCAGATTATACAATAGTACTGCATATGAGGTCTAAAATTTTGAAACAGATAACGACTATGCATTTTAATTTAAAATATGAAAACAATATTTGTTTATCTTTTGTCAACTTAACACATAATTATGTTTAATCTTTCATAGTGTGTGAAAAGTTGCTTAATTTTAAAGAGGTATTCTAAAACTTTCAGCACACCAAATGTATTCAAATCAGTTTAAATATCCCATGCAACAAACAGAAAATGTTCCTTGTAGGATTGGGAAAATCATATTACAATTAAGCCATGAATAAAATTTCAAAAGTGACACTGGAGAAAAGCATTGTGCACGCATGAACACAACATATCAAATTTAAGTCAAAACACATGCACTAAACAGAGAGTTTGTAGAATAGACAAACAAAAATAAAGGATCAGATTATCAAATAATTTTAAGAATGTTCCCTAGCAGGCACTGTCCATAATAAAAACATAATTAACAGGTCTGGTACAGATTTACAAATAAAGCACTATTACTTTAAATATATTTTCATTTATAAAATGCTATGAATAATTCTTACAGTATGGTATTTTGACTACCATGGGGGAAAAAATCAATAGAAAAAAAAATCTAGGAATGCCACAAATCAGACACTTAAAACAGATATCACCAGTTTAGTTTTATCATAGCTTAGTTTGGAAAGAGTTAAGTTCCAAATACAACAGCTGTAATTAAACAAACCAGTCTATCCCATTATTGATGAACCCAGTAACTTCCAGATTAATGTTAGTAACTACATGCTACAGATGCAAGACCTAAAATATGTTACTCAAGTTTATGTTACTCTACTTGAATTTAATCACTTGCAAATAAAACCATGACAAAAGTCCATTATTTCAAATTACAGTTTGAAAGCTGTAAAATAATTTTTACAATCTTCAATTTTATATCTAACCGATAATCCTAATAAGAAAATGCAAGAGTAATTTTAATAGAAGGAGCAATCAGAGTTTTTGTTTAAGGGCATTGCTGCAAGGTATATACGCAAATGATTAGTAATATGATTAGTGTGGCACTCGCTTATTTACAATTGAAAATGCTGAAGTGTTTTCAATGCTGACTCTATAACCAAATGAATCCAAATAGATCAACATATTATTCTTTTTTCTGAAGAACAAAAACAGTAGACATTTACTACTCTTAAAAGGATAGAGATTATGATGTGCAATTTAACAACCAGCGATGTGAAAATGGCACAATTCTGTTTCATAACACACATCACCACATTTCACAAAATATGATCACTGAAATGGGAGACATTCAAGCCCCCTCCATACAGTAATTTATCCCCATACGATAATCATTTAACTCAGTTGCTTAAATTCTTTAAACAATTCATGTTGGACAAAGAACAGCATGGAGTTTAGCATTTCATGAAACAAAAACAAAAAAAGCAATTAAGGAGACAAGAGAAATCTGCATAACTGGTTAATCAAAAGTGGATTGTATAAAAGGGAAGCTTTTTGATTGGCGTCTTTAATATAAATAGATGTAAATTTTTTTATTAAAAAAATTCACCATACTTTAAATTATTTAACTTTTGATCTTTGGAAATTAAAAATCAAGTACAAAGAGGGTTGGGATTTGGTTGTGAAAACAGCACCTGCAAGTATTGTTTTATTCATAGAAGTCTTAGTACCTGTTAAAAAACATTAGCGAATTTCAGACTTAAAATATAACAAATTATTCTACAACATATGGCACAAATCACATCTTTATGGTATGATTTCTATTTAAAAAAAAAATTCTTCTTTAATCAGAAAACTTAACAAATGAAATTCTCAATTCAAATGATAGGAATGCTTTGATCACAAAAATACAAATGGCAGGAGAAGATCTAAAAGTACAAAATTAATTGCATTCAACGGCTCCTTTTAGTCGATAAACTAGACGTTTTAACTTTACAGAACAAAGTTAATTAATTAGTATAGACACAAACACAATAATTGAAAAACGAATAAGAAAATTTTAAGTTGCAGAAATAATAGATAAAAACTACGATAAAAGATAATTTAAAATTGATATAAAATATTGTTCATAATAAAATACTCAGGAAAAACAACAAAAAAAAAGAGTATTCATTTTGAGAATGCATATATATTCTCAAATTAAACTAAGCTTATCAAAACTACAAGTGTCAATAAAGTGTTAAAAATTATTAAATTCGAACACACTAAAATTTTTTATTAGGCAATGAAAAAGTTATTGCTACATTGCAAAAAGTTTTATTTAATAAAATTCATTTCAGCATTTCCATAATCTTTTTCTCGGTTAGGCCTGTATTGATGACTAAGTTTTTGTCGATGGTATGAAATATCATTATAACCATAAAATAAAACAACTAACACTAGAAATTTTCATGTCCATCTAAAATGAAAATGGGTTATATAATAATCAACTTTAGTCTCCTTCGTTTCAAAAATGATCAATACAAAATTTTTAACAAAACAAATAATAAAGTAATAGAAAATGTTAGCAATTAATGATCTTTAAATTAACTTAAAAAATACAAAAAGTGAGAAAATAAAAGTTGTATTTACTTACAACCAACTATAAAATTAATTAAAAGCCTTTCTATCATAATAGGTTATCAGTTTAATAATTACAAAATCAACTAGTTTTTAATAAAAGAAATCTATGAAAAATTCATTTAATTAGAACTATAAAGAACAAAAACTGAGAGGAAAATGAACTACAAATAATGACATATCATAATTAACTGTATAAAACTAATTAACAGCTTTACCATCACCTATCAGCATGAAGCAAAAATGGCACATTTCATTTGATAATAGTCAACCAAACCCAAAACAACAAGAGTTAAAATATACACTTTATACATAGTACAACATAATAAACAAATATAGAACAACGATACTCCACAACAATTTTCTGCCTTTAAGAAATAAAAGTATTGGGAAGAGAAAAAAAACTTCAATTTAAATAAACAAAAGCAAGATTTCCTTTTAAAATTAAGTAACTGGAAACTTGTAGAATAATCCAATTGCACTTAGAAATACAGAAATTTAAAAATTGCTGCAAGGAATGAAAAAATATTTTTTAAATCTTATAAAAAAAGTTTTTGTGAATGGTTAATTACAAATGTGATGAACAATTTTTAACTTGAAACTGAAAATCTAGTTACATAACTAATGGTAAATTAAGAAAAAGAACAGAAAATTAATTAGATAATTCAAATGGAACAGCTATTTGATTTAGGCACTTTTATCGTTACAACTCAATTTACTAAATTCTGTTCAAAGTAATTGAGTATTTACAAATTGTAATAAACTAAATGATGCAACCAATAATTAATTTTTTTAAGGGGTTTGAAATCAAATTTTCTCTATTTAAAAAAAAAAAAAACATATCAATTTTATACATACACTACAAAACTGGCATGGAATTAATAGAAAAACAAATTCATTTTTAATATTCATGACTAAATTATAGTTTCCTTCATACAATTACATTATATGTATAAATTTCTGCGCTAAAATGTTCAATTTAGTAAAAGTGACACAAAAAAAAAAATTCATAAAATAGACAAAAAAGCAGAGCGAACTAAAACATTTGGCAACCGAGTCTTTTGACTAGATCACCCAATTAAACAGCTTATCTAATTATCCTCTTTTAGCTGAACTAGCAAGCGAACATTGGCACTATACGAAATAAGAAAAACCAGAAATACAAAATTAATATTTCTTTTTAAACCAATTTTAGCCTCCTGTATACAACATTACAGATAAACATCAATTTTAAAAATTAAGATATTTTAATATTCCATCCCATCTTAGTTATTAATATTTATCATGAAGGACTTATCACATCAATTTGTTTCATATTAAAAAAATAAAAAAAAAACAAAGGGAAAAAAATAATAAAACTAAAACAGAACAAACATCACATGTAATATATAACTTTTGCTTAACTAACAATACAATATATAAAATTTCAAATATTGCAATAGAATATGCATTATTAACCACAAGCAAACCATAATTTGGTAAGTCGTTCAATCATCAAAGACACTTTTTCTTAGATAATATATATATATGGCCCCTCTCCCAAGAATTATTGATCATAGACAAATACATTCAAAATTAATATGAGATAAAAACAAAATTAATCACAAGAAACATAGAGAAGTGTAAAGAAATTCATTATCAAAAGGTAATTGTAGTAAGTCTAGAACTCAAAGTATTATATGATAGTGAAATTTATTTTCATCAGTCATAAATAACAAATCGTATTAAGGCACAATCCAGGAATTTTTACTTCGGAATTTTGTGAATAAAGTTTCGCTAAAAACAATACGAAATTTTGTAAATATTACATACAAAATGTCAAAAACTAAATGATCCATTTTAAAGAAGTATTTATTTTTAAATTTCACACATTTATAGAAAACTTAGATGAACATTTAAATATCAGAGTCTTTCCTTGGTTTCTAGAAAAATCATTTTTCTTAGCAAGTTTCTCTAATCCCTTTTCGAATAATGTCAATAATTAACACAAAAATTCACATTTTCATAAAAATGAAAATTAATTTTTGTGTTGAATGAAAATGGAATATCATACATAATAGAAAAATGGGTTGAAGTTAAGAACTTTCTCCAAAAAAAGATCACATTAAGTAGTAAAGGAATTTTGTAAAGAATATTTTTTCACGCTTGGACTTTTATTATGAATCCTCAATTAGACCTTATTTCTTCCTAGATTGCCCCCTGCATTAAACTAATAAACACTCTACAACACTTAAAATATGACAAAAAGTTTCAGCAATATTAATTTTTAACATAATTAGCACATTAGAAAAAATAAATCATTCGAAAAATTAAACATGAATAAGTAGTGAATACTTTGTGAATAAAATAATAACATAGAAAAAAGCTAATGCTGCACACAAGCTGAACCCTGCAGCTAAAACATAACGAAAGCATTCATTCTGTCCAAGAGTCAAAAATCAATCACATCATGTTGAAATGACAAATTCTTAATCAAATCATGGCAAAATAATCTCACATGGTCAAATTTCAAGTCACAGAAATGACTCAACATGTCAAAGATGCAATCAGTGTTAAGCAATAACCATGCAAAAACCTGATAAGTTTGTTTATGATAATGGCATATTAATTTTGCCATTGTCAATGTTGACCATTAAATGTAGAAAGCTTGTTAAGTGCACCCCATATGGTGCACCCCGCCAGTCAGGTTTGCAGGTTTAATGCTTGGAAAGGGTGGGGTGGAACAATCGGAGGTGGAGGTCCATGATGTGGAGGCTGCTGATGCTGGGAATGAGGACCTGGTTGAGGATGCTGTTGTTGCGGTTGCTGAGAAGGATGAGGTGACTGATGTGTGATTTGAGGTGGAGACGGGGATTGTTGATGAGGTAAATGTCTATTTTGGTGTTGCATTTGATGATGGGTTTGAGGAGGTTGATGTTGAGGGTGCTGAGGTGGATTCTGTTGTTGATGAGGAACCTGCTGTTGAGGTTGCTGCTGGTGATGAGGAGGCATAACTTGAGATTGATGTTGAGATGACTGTTGGGGCTGTGGTTGAGATGGTGGTTGCTGTTGTTGATTCTGCTGAATTTGATTCGGATGTTGCGACTGTGGAGTTGGAGGCTGTGAATTCTGGCTTTGTGGTTGCTGTGGACCACCTGATGGTTGCTGCTGTTGTTGTTGGGGCGGTGGCTGTAAATGAGGTGCTTGCTGTTGTTGTTGCTGCTGCTGTTGTCCATGGGTTTGAGGCTGCTGCACATGTTGCTGTGGTGGAGGCTGTTGTTGTACATGTGATTGAGGGCCTTGAGATGGATTTTGGTTTTGATGCTCAGATGTTGGCTGGGAATGGTTTTGTTGAGGATGAGGATTCTGACTATGGGATTGTTGATGCTGTGCCTGGGAATGTGATTGGTGAGATGTTTGCGTATGGGCTTGCTGAAGTGTAGTCTGTGTATGGGCTTGCTGATGTGTGGTTTGCGTATGAGCTTGCTGGTGTGTTGTTTGTGTATGGGCTTGCTGATGCGTTGTTTGAGTATGAGCTTGCTGATGCTGTGGCCCAGAATGATTTTGATGAGGCCCAGAATGAGTTTGGAGGTGATGTTGGGATAGCTGGTAATGTAGTTGCTGCAACTGTAACAAACCTGTACTTGTCTGGGCAGCTTGCATCTTAACTGCATTATTGGCTGCATTCTGTGCATGGCGGGAAGAACACTTATGTCGCTTTAAATCTCTGTCTTCTACAAAACGTTTGCCACAAATAGGACAAGCAAAAGGCTTCTCTCCACTGTGCATCTTTATATGACGAGTCAATTTATCTCTTCGATAAAATGCCTTCCCACATGCAAGGCAAGCATATGGTTTTTCTCCTGTATGTATTCGCCTGTGACGAGTAAGTTTATCCTTCCTATAAAAACCACGGCCACAGAAGTCACAGGGATAAGGTCGCTCTCCAGTATGAATCATGGAATGTCGTGTAAGATGATTCTTCTGCGAGAAACTTCTTCCACATACTTCACAATGAAATGGTTTATCCCCAGTATGCGTCCTCATATGATCTAGCAACTTACAACGATAGCTGAATCCACTACCACATATATCACAAGCACAGGATTTTTCACCATGTGCAGATCGTACATGGATTCTTACTCGTTCACTAGTGGCAAATAGTTTACCACACATATCACATGGAACTGTTTTTTCAGTTTTTGTGTGCGCAGATAGATGCACCTGAAGCTCAGATGCTGCTTTGAATGGTACCTTGCAGGAGGGACAAGGCCATAACTTTTCTTTTTCATCATTTTGTTTCTCCTGTGGAATAGGTGGAGGAGGAGGTGGAAGTTTGTTTGGATCTATGCCTGGAAATGCTGCTGTACTAGAGGCAGCAGCTACTAAAAGATTTCTACAAGCAGCAAGATCTGGTGTGAGAGCTGAGGCTTCAACTTTAATACTAGTTACTCTAGAAAGATTTTTATGCTTTCCAGGTTCTTCGGTAAATTGTATCTGAGTAGGAGTTGCAGTAGGTCCTACAGGGTGAAAATTTGCTAAGTGTGCACGAGGATCAAATCCTAAGGTGAAAGGAAAAAATACAAATATTATTAAGTAGAAAATTTAAAGATATAATTAAAAAAAATCATAGCTAAATATCTTAAACTGACAATTTTTTAAAAAAAACTTTTCATTTCCCATAAAGTTAGAAAGCAAAAACTTACAGCATATGTTCTTTATGAGATAAATAAATAAATAAAAAAAAAAAACTAAAAAGTTTCATTTCAATATTTATAATCATCAACAAAACAAGGGGGTAATTACCCCATTTGTAAGTTTTAGTAAATAAAAGTTAACCATTAAGAATAGATGACTCACATTTCTACCATGTGTTCCTTTCATCATTTAGTAATTATTGGAGTAAATTAACATAATTAATAGAAATGCTATAAACAGGCCTTAGTTTGCAACACTGATAGAAATCTCATATTTCGACCACATGCTCCGCACTAGGTAAAAAGTTAAACTAATAAACTAAAAAGAAAATTTCAATTAGATATTTTGTAATTGCTCTGGTAGTTAACCTTATTAATATTAATGCTAAATAATGCATTTTTGCCAAGATAAAAGTCTAATTTTTATCATGATAAATTCTAGAAAATTAATGAATTTGCAACAAATACTATAAAAATTTTTAATTTAAAAATTATGCATTCAATTCAAAAATATTTATGATACAAGAAAAAGATGAATAAACACTTATTTGTTTAAAATTATTAAAAATTTTGATTCCAAACACTATTTTTGTTGACATCCGTAACCGATTACTGTTGGTTCATTTTCTATATGAATGAATACAGAAGGATAGTCATTGTTCAATTGCGAAAATGGGTTAGGGTTCTGTTTGGCGAGGTCTTACTTAGTCTAATTATGGTATAACTTAGACTAATTACGTGCCTATAACTATTTCTTGAGCCGACAATACAGCAAGTTCATCAACTGATACATAAACATTAAACGTGTTGCAATAAATCCTCAATTTCTTTTCATGATTAGAATCAAGAACTAGTGTTTTTCTTTCCAAAATGAAGTAAGTCCATTTTTTTTAAAACTACACATAAAATTTCTGAACTATGTCCATCTGTAAGTTTCAAAATCAATCTAAACGGCTATTATTAACATTATCAGAATAGCATTTACGACAGGACTGTGAAAACAAGATGGCACAGATTGGAAAATTAAGATGCTTAAGCAATGGATTAGGGTCTAATTGTTTTTTAGAATTATCGGGTTAGTTAGGGGAAGACTAATTGACAGTAATGCAAAATAACACAGTCCAACTAAATTAGCAGTTTTAAACTTGAGTCATATGTTCATCAAATTTCTAGAATAAACTTTGATATTTAGTAACTGTTTCTTTTGACAGTAATGCTAAATAACATGTTTATTTTATTTCTACCAAGTGTTTGGTGCGGGGTAGCAAAATTCCAGTTTTTGTGCTAGTAAACCTCAAAGAGGCTAGTACAAGCTGCAAGAAGATTAGGTGGAACCACAAAGTGGAAGGTTTGTATAGGCTGAGGTACAGACAACTGTTTTACCATATTACATTTAAAATACTAATGAAATGTTGACAATTCAGGGTATTAAAGTCACAAAATGTTGAATTTGTACAGGTGAAGCAATAGTAGAAATGAGAAGAGGTCAGTTTGTGTAGGTGACTCAGCTGACTGTCAGACGTCTAGTTATGTATTAAATATCCAAAATTTAAAATTAGAAGTATTTTTTTAAATTTTTTATATTCCTTTAAGAGCCTTTGATTGAAAGATAATAAATCTAGATAGATAAGAATTATGATCTTCTTCAGTCTAACACAAAATTCCAACTGTATGTAGTAGTGAAAAAAAACTATTTACCTAAACACAGAAATTTCAGAAGCAATTTGAGAAAAAAATTACTTTAGGTAAATTTTTAAGAACTTGACAATTTCCAACTTAAAAGCAGCAGATCTGTAGAATATACACAAAGGGAGTTCAAGGAAAATTTCTCACCATTGAGGAGTTTTTAAAATTTTTTTTTACCATTAATAAAAAAGAGAAAATCTGCCTCTTCAAATAAAGCTTGTTAATTCTGAATTCCCATGAGAAAAAAAAAAGATTCCTTTTTACACTTTTTCCTACCAATGGAAATGTGATTTAAAATTATATTCACATAATTTTAAATCACAGTATTATGATTTGTTTGTAAGTGACTTAAATATTATACAACGGAGTTCGCAATCACGCGATTTTAAAATTAACATTAAAATTCGTATTAATGCAGATTTATATACATGCATTGAGATGCATAATTGGTATGCACATTTGACATGCGAGTTTTATGCTAATAATCTCTTTTAAGTAACAGGATCTGACTTCTCTTCGTATTTCACTTCATTTATTTAATACTTAATTAATCTCGTCACACCTAATATTAGCCTTTTCTTCTTCTTTTTCGATAATTTTAAAACTATTTGCATAAATCAATATTTATTACGCATTTTTTTCTATCAATTTCGAAACTCAACAATTTATGTTTTCTTTTTTTTTTTGAAGTGGATTTAAAATTATTTAATAAGAATATTCGTTTACTATATTTACATATATTGGACAAAATACGAATAACATTTTCTAGAGTTTAACTATTTTAAAACTGAAACGTTTCCAAAATTTATTTGTCCCGCAGTGGACTGATCGTTAAGCAGATTCCAGCAGATCACCGAAGTAAAGCATCACTGGCTGCGGTCAGTGTGCGGGTGGGTGACCACTTGGATCAGTCTGCATAAGGACCGAGGGTGTGCGTTATGGGTCCTCGTTAAACTGTTCTGATGTAAAGTGCTCGACCTCGCGTGCAGAACATCAGGCTACCGAAGCGGAGGTGCCATCCCCTCTGCAGAGGATCAAAATTGTGATGGCATGTCTTTGGACCATCCTGAGGGATGTTTCCCAGACCGTCGCTAATAGCCCATTGCGCAGCTCTAGTGCGACGTAAATGAACAACAACAGCATAATCACAAAATTTAAATAAAAGCCTGTGTTGATATGTTTTTATTAAAACGTTGATAACATTCTGTGGATAAATACCTCATACATGCACTTTTTTCTCACACTAATTTCATGTATTTTTTCAATTATTTAAAGAGCGTTCTGGCACATAAAATTTTTTGATTCTATTTTCAGCTTTTCTGGTTTTTTACCAAACTTGTCTCTGCGGTAGGGGGAAAAAATTAAAGAATTTTGTAAAAAAATCTGTGATTTCTAAATTAATTTCGCCAAAATGAGGAGGCGTCGAAAAGGTTGAAACTAGTCACAAGAGTTAATCAATGAGTGCAGAAAATTAGATTTTCTGCTTGCAAAGAATTTCATTTTATCTAAATATTAACATTTGGACTTATAGAAGTTCAATTCCATATGATATGTTATGTATCCCTAAAAAAATACTAAGATACATACAATATATATACAATGAAGCCAAATGCAATGTCAAAGTGCCTCTAATAAAGTTTTTTTTAAATATATTGTGCAGCTTGGACAACAGTGGAAAATATTAATATGAATTCCAGCCCACCGAGTTTGCCTTATTCTGTGAAGTTTATTCAGATTATTCAATGGAAATCCATACTACATTTTATCAATACCATGCAATTTTTCATGAGAAAACTTTGATTTTTTTTAATTGAAATGTCAAAAATTAGATTTTGTGAGTAAAAACATACAATAGAATAAGAATGAAAACATGGAAAAGTTTCTCTAAAAAATGGAACTTTAAAAAATAATTGTAATAGAATTTTAAAATAACTTAACTTGAACCTCAATAACTGATTATTGTAACTGACAATTCTAAGACTGGTTATTTTCTGGGTATAATATAGGAATTTTTTAAGATTTTTTGGTAAAAAATTACAACCTTCTCTGATCACTCCTTNGAACTTGACAATTTCCAACTTAAAAGCAGCAGATCTGTAGAATATACACAAAGGGAGTTCAAGGAAAATTTCTCACCATTGAGGAGTTTTTAAAATTTTTTTTTACCATTAATAAAAAAGAGAAAATCTGCCTCTTCAAATAAAGCTTGTTAATTCTGAATTCCCATAAGAAAAAAAAAAAGATTCCTTTTTACACTTTTTCCTACCAATGGAAATGTGATTTAAAAGTATATTCACATAATTTTAAATCACAGATCACAATTTCTATTTTCATGAATTTATGCCAAACATTGTGTTTCATGTTCACGCAATTTTAAAATTAACATTAAAATTCGTATTAATGCAGATTTATATACATGCATTGAAATGCATAATTGGTATGCACATTTGACATGCGAGTTTTATGCTATTGATCTCTTTTAATTAACATGATCCGACTTCTCTTCGTATTTCACTTCATTTATTTATTACTTAATTAATCTCGTTACACCTAATATTAGCCTTTTCTTCTTCTTTTTTTGATAATTTTAAAACTATTTGCATAAATCAATATTTATTACGCATCTTTTTCTATCAATTTCGAAACTCAAAAATTTATGTTTTCTTTTTTTTGAAGTGGATTTAAAATTATTTATTAAGAATATTCGTTTACAATATTTACATATATTGGACAAAATACTAATCACATTTTCTAGAGTTTAACTATTTTAAAACTGAAATGCTTCCAAAATTTATTTGTCCCACAGTGGACTGATCGTTAAGCAGATCACCGAAGTAAAGCATCACTGGCTGCGGTCAGTGTGTGGATGGGTGACCACTTGGATCAGTCTGCATAGGGACCGAGGGTGTGCGGTATGGGTCCTCGTTAAACTGTTCTGCCGTAAAGTGCTCGACCTCGCGTGCAGAACGTCAGGCTACCGAAGCGGAGGTGCCATCCCCTCTGCAGAGGATCAAAATTGTGATGGCATGTCTTTGGATCATCCTCAGGGATGTTTCCCAGACCGTCGCTAATAGCCTATTGCGCAGCTCTTGTGCGACATAAATGAACAACAACAGCATAATCACAAAATTTAAATAAAAGCCTGTGTTGATATATTTTTTATTAAAACGTTGATAACGTTCTGTGGATAAATACCTCATACACGCACTTTTTTCTCACACTAATTTCATGTATTTTTTCAATTATTTAAAAAGCGTTCTGGCACATAAAATTTTTTGATTCTATTTTCAGCTTTTCTGGTTTTCTTAACAAACTTGTCTCTGTGGTAGGGGAAAAAAATTAAAGAATTTTGTAAAAAAATCTGCGATTTCTAAATTAATTTCGCCAAAATGAGGAGGCGTCGAAAAGGTTGAAACTAGCCACAAGAGTTAATCAATGAGTGCAGAAAATTAGATTTTCTGTTTGCAAAGAATTTCATTTTATCTAAATATTAACATTTGGACTTATCGAAGTTCAATTCCATATGATATGTTATGTATCCCTAAAAAAATACTAAGAGCGCTGTATATATATACAATGAAGCCAAATGCAATGTCAAAGTGTCTCTAATAAAGTTTTTTTTTAAATATATTGTGCAGCTTGGACAACAGTGGTAAATATTAATATGAATTCCAGCCCACCGAGTTTGCCTTATTCTGTGAAGTTTATTCAGATTCAATTATTCAGATTATTCAATGGAAATCCATACCACATTTTATCAATACCATGCAATTTTTCATGAGAAAACTTTGATTTTTTTTAATTAAAATGTCAAAAATTAGATTTTGTGAATAAAAACGTACAATAGAATAAGAATGAAAACATGGAAAAGTTTCTCTAAAAAATGGAACTTTAAAAAATAATTGTAATAGAATTTTAAAATAACTTAACTTGAACCTCAATAACTGATTATTGTAACTGACAATTCTAAGACTGGTTATTTTCCGGGTATAATATAGGAATTTTTTAAGATTTTTTGGTAAAAAATTACAACCTTCTCTGATCACTCCTTGCCTTTCAGAGTTAATATAAAATTCCCAGACTATTCCAGGTTTTCTCTGTTCTCCCTGACCCACGGGAGCCCCGTAATAATAGGCACATCAAAAATAGTTTCCTTCTTTTTAAAACTACAAAAGTCAATAATTTAATATAATTGTGATAATTGTGTTTTCAAAACTATTTTTTTTCTTTAAATCATGCCTTATCAATTCTATTATTACTACAACGAAATTTAAAATAGTCTTAAGGTCCGTTTAATCGTCTATATTTCTTTTAGAAAAATATATTCTTTTCTATTTCAAAGAAACTTAGAAGCACCTTTATAGTTCTTGAATGAATAGCCGGTACAGATACAATTTAACTAAATTTATACATTTTATAACAATAAAACTAACATTTATCACTATTTTCTCTAACCATTATTTTTAAATTTAAGAAAGAAAACACAGTTTTGTATGAATATGAATAGCATTTTTAAATTTCATTTATTTATTACTTAATTATTTACTTCATTAATTACTTACTTAATTACTATACTAAATGCAAATTTACAAAACTAAAATGTTTGCAATTTTGTTTCTTCAACACAGAAATCAAAATACATTGCTTATTTAATTTTCACATAAATTTCCTACAAGATTTTTAGACATTTTAACTGAAATGGGCATTTGGTATTACAGGTAAAATACCAAGAAATATGTGTATGAAATTCACAAACTTATTAATATTTGTTTAATTTTAATTATTTATGCTTTAATTCTTGTGTTAGTTTATATATATATACATGTGTGCGTGTAAGAATTACATGACATAGTTACACATGGGTCTAAATCAAATCTTTTCAAGAATATGCAAAATTCCCAAGGAATTTTAGGCTAATCCTATCACTGTCTTTTTGATATCTTCTACTGAAGATTTTTAAGTTAATTCATTATCCTAGTTCAGACTTCATTATTTCAAACTTAAAGGCAAGATTTTCGGAAAATGATCACACTAAAATTTAACTTAAATCAGCATTACTTTTTAAATGCATCGAACCATTAATGAGTCAAGTGCAATAATAATTCACAAGTTTTTTATCATTTAGATTCAGGAGTAATTTGATTAAATTATCTTTATTATTCCTTTAAAAACTCACAATTTTCTTAGAAAGGGAACTGTAATAATTCCCTTTATTTCATTTTTCTTTCAAATTAGGGATGCAAAGAACATTAGATCATTTAGCCAAATATTCGGCTGGCTGAATGTTTGATTCGAATAAGCACTTTTTTTTTCTTCTCCAGTTCTCATGTAAATGGTACTATTAAGTTTCAAAGCTTGTAAAATTCACATCATCATAAAACAAATGAATGTGGAATGAATAAATAATAATGAGTCTTTTGGAATAATTAAATAATAATGAGAAACAAATTATTTTAATGCAGGGACAATTTTTTAAGTTCTCATATTAAAAAAAAAAGTTTAAAAATGATTTAATAATGATTAAATTTACTATTTCATCATTAATCATATAAAATTGATTTTGTTTAATAATTGCAATAAGCTTCCATCATGAAAAAAAATTTAATTACTAATAAAAATTACAAATTAACATATACACAACATAAAACTTAGACCTGATCATACAATAGTTAAAATATTCTGCATTGAAATAATCTATTATTAGCTAGTAAAACATTATTTGGGACAGCACTTTAATAATTTTTTTTTAAAAAAAACGAGGGTTTATTTTTTTTAAAAAGAAATGTATCAAATAAATAAAATATAGTAGAGTACTTAAATATTTATTAAAAAAATATTCCTAAATAAAGGAAACAAGAATCACATATCTAAATTTATTTACACATTGAGAAACAGATCTAAATCTTCACACAATGATAAATCTAATTAGCATAACTAACCTAAAATGACTACATCAATCGATTGAAGAAAAAAAACAGCGTGAAAGAACAGAAAGAAAGACGATTTAAATAAAAATTAGAAGAATCATTAATACAAAAAAAATAATAACCACATTATTATGAAAACTTTAAATCATGTGTTTGTTTATATACAGAAATATTGCTTGCCAATGAGGAAATTTGAGATTTAGGCCTGATAAGCTAAATTTATTAATTCAATTTTTCAAAATCAACCAGAATATCTCACAATTTTGGCGACATCACGAAAAATGTGAGTTACTAGAGCAGTTCACAGAAATATAAACAAACCTGGAAATGCAGCGGGGAAAACAAAGGTTGGGGTGCACACCACTTGCTCAGGAGTCGAAGCCATTTTACCCCCCCAGTTGAACTGAATGTTGCCAAGTTAAGATAAGTTTCTCTATCAGACATGACAAAGAAGTGATGTCACTCATTGAAAACTATGAAAAAAAAATAAAAAACTTTCCTTCATTTAACATACCTTTTTAAGAAACGTGTATTAAAATAATTATTATTTCACTTTCATGACTTTCTACCTTGAATTTCTATCACATTGAAATAATTTTGAAATAAGTTTGCTCTTAGAAGATGGCAATTTCTTTAGACGCGGTGCATGTTCTTGTTTGCAGGTGAAATTTTCGTCTGGTATCAAATTAACAATAAACAAACATATTACTGCTTATCTCGTATTATTTATATTATCTTTTGGTTATCAGTATGCCTCGAATTGAAAATGATATTAAGTTAGATTTTAAAGATGTGCTTTTGAGACCAAAAAGAAGTACTTTAAAAAGTCGAAATGATGTAAGTTCAATGAAAAATGAATTTAATACCATAATTTTTCAGACTATTTGATTAAAATGCTTTTGTAAATTTTAATTATAAATTAGTGAGTAGCGAGATAAACTAATGGGTTCTAATTTATTTTTTTCAATTTATTTATTTTATTTGGGAAGTTATATGTATTTAACGAAATTGGTGGTTTAAAATACATAATATGCAATTGTTGAGAATATCTGTTATTAGAGAGAATCACCTCACTTAATTAAGGTTAGATAATTCGGTATTAAAATATCTTCCGCCTAAAAACCTTGTTATTCAGCCAGATATTTGTGTATTGAGTGAAAATTTTTATAAAAACTTGGTGAAATTTGAAACGCTCGTTTATTAAAAGCAAAGCAACTAATTGCAGTGTTGTCATAAGAATAAAAGTATCGGGTTATTTAAAAGTAATAAAAATAATCTCATTGCTAATTATCAAAAGACTCAGCATTGCTCCAAAATATTTATCAAAAATATTAGTAAATAGACAGTACTAAAGCTTATATACTCTACTATTCAAAGCAAAATACATAGACATTGCTACATTATTTTAAAATCTACAAATTTATTATTTTACTTGCAATAATTTATCTTTTAAATATTATGATTTATCAAACTTATTTTAATATCTATTATGTTTTGATACAGGTTGACCTGTGCAGATCTTTTACTTTTCGAAATTCGGGAAAGCTATATGATGGGATACCTATTATTTCATCAAACATGGATACCACTGGTACTTTTGAAATTGCTAAAGTTTTGGCAAAGGTAATATTTATTTAACTACATTCTTTATTTTTAAAAGCAAGTCTAACTATTATTATATTTTCATTTTTTAGCATGTTTTCTCTTAAGTTATTTAGCATAATTTTTGATTTGGTTGACTCAGTTTTAATTTTATTCTAAGAATTATTTAGTAAATAATGAGCTAGTTAGTTTCTTCCTTTTCATCCAATATCTTCTATTTTGTCCAGTTTCTTCCAAGGTTTTTTTCACCATTGTCTTGGAATGAAATAGGTTTTTTCCAGAATAAAGACCAATACAATTATTACAATCAATAGGAGTCCTGGTATAAATCCCAATAGGAAAAAAAAATTGAAGTATGATCCTAAAGTGTCATATTTTAAATATAAGATTTATCAGAATCTCTTTCTTGTTTAAATTTTTTATCCTATTTAAAATTTTCTCTTTACTTTTTTAGCATGGGTTATTTACTTGTATTCACAAGCATTATTCATTGGATCAATGGAAAGAATTTGCATCAGAGAATCCTAGTGCTTTAAAAGTAAGAAAATATTTCGTTCTTTTAATTTAATTATTAACCTTCAATTGTCATATACTTTTTTTTTTTTAATAACCACCTCTAAATTACCCTTTCTTTAATGAAACATATGTTTATTTTTAGAATGTTGCTGTTAGTATAGGAACAGCTGCAGGTGATTTCGAGCAATTGTGCTCCATTATAAAAGAAGTTCCAGAAATTGAGTGCATATGTCTTGATGTTGCCAATGGATATTCAGAACATTTTGTTTCACTTGTTAAGCAAGTGAGAGCAACATATCCCTCTCATACAATTATGGTAATTTACATTATTATTTATGTTTATTATAATTTTTTAAGCTAAATTTTATTTGTTTTTATTCTACTGTATACTCCTTATTTTTATATAGCTATTATAAAGGTAGAGCAAACAAGACATTTGCCCTGGGACCTATTTTTCTACAACTCTAATAGGAGCCAGTGATATCCCAAAAGATTTTTATTTTATTTTATTTGCATTGATAACTCAAAGGTTTTATTTTCTATTTCAGTTTATTAAATAGCTGGGTTGGCAAAAGTTTGCCTAATCCAGGGGCAAAGTTACTTGAAAACAGACTGGGAAATTTTCAAGCATACAAAGTTTAAAGTTATGTTTGTAAAATTATTATTTTTTCTAAAGATCAAACTTAGTGACATTGAAATTATTTCAAGCTTGAAAATATGTGTATTATATCAGTATTGGTTAAGTTAAATACTTTTGTTTACTTAAAGTAAAAATGACCTAATTATCTAATCAATTAATGTTCTGCAACTGATTTTCTCCCTCCTTTTATCCATATATTTCATTGTTTCAGATGAAAATTTTTTTATTTTGATAAGACCAGTGTTCTCCCTAAGCATTTTTAGAAGGGCAATCCACCCTGCCTGCCCTTCGATCTTATAAATGCACCCTCTTTGTCCTTTTTGTAAAAATAAGTAATTTAAAAAAATTAATTCACTATTTAAATAATAATTACATGCTGGTAAAAATTTCTATGTTTATTGGTTTAGTTTTGATTACTATTACAAATATTTACTTTGTTAGGATTATTCGCAACTTATGAATTTTTTTTATGTACAGGAGGGTACCGATTATCCGGAACGATCGGGACCATCGCTATTCCGGATAACTGATTTTTCCGGTTTTCTGAATCGCTACAAAAAGCCGTTTTTTTGTTGTTAAACCCAACTAAAAAAAAAAAAAATTTTTTTTGGAAATGATCTTAAAAAGAAGAAAAACCGATGAATTAATACACTAATAATTATTTCCAAAGTGATGGTAAGGTGAACATCTTTCAAAAAAGAAAGAAAAATCCTAAAATTTTATGAGGAAAAAAAATATTTTTTTAAAAATGGCTGGAAAATTTATCGAATTTCGTTCCGGTTTTCTGATTTCCGAATAACGGGTTCTGTACTGTATCATTTTTTCAGAGGGAGATATTAATAATTTTTTTAATGGTTTTAATTTTTAACATTTTTTTACATAAGTAACTTATAAAAAAATGCTATATGTTCAGTTTAAATTATATAAAAATCTTTCAAGCTGTATCAATTATTAATTTTTCTTAGTTTACTTTTTAAAAAAAAAATTTGGCCCATATATTGTTTATTAGCATGCTTTTATTTATTTTTACTAACTGCAAATTTTTCTCTTACTCTGATAATGAGAAAAAATTATTCTTTGAAATATACACATTAAATAGTATAAGAGGGTAATTTAAAAATTGTTCAGAATCAAATTCAACAATTACATAATGTTACGCATTTTGATAAATTTTTACAGTGTTGAATAAGTGCCCTTTCAAAACTTATGGTGCCCTTTTCTGAAAGGCAGAGCTCTGCTTTTTTTTTTTTTTTTTAAAAAAATTCAATTCTAAATAGAATCTTAATTCTAAATAAAAACTTCGTTTTGAAAATTTAAAAGTAAAAATTATTATAATCTTTCTTAATCTAAGTTTGTTTTAAAAAAATCAAATTTTGTTATAAAAAAAATCAGCCTCATTCAGAATTTGTTTTGATTATCTGATATTAGGATACAACAAATGCTCTGAACTTAAGGAAATGTATTTGTGTTACATATTTAAGGTTGATGTAAAATTGATTTTTTATAGGCTGGTAATGTTGTGACTGGAGAAATGGTTGAAGAATTGATTCTGTCAGGTGCTGATGTTATAAAAGTAGGCATTGGTCCAGGCTCTGTATGTACTACTAGAAAAAAAGCTGGTGTGGGATATCCCCAATTAAGTGCTGTCCTTGAATGTGCTGATGCTGCTCATGGTCTTGGAGGTCACATCATTTCAGTCAGTGTTATATTTTTAATTTGTTCATCAATATGTGTTATTTTAACTTAAGGAAACTTTTTTCAATTCCAATATTATAAGCAGGATGTTTAGCAATCTAGATAACCTGGCAAAGTCAGTGAAATTTTTCTGATTTTTAGAAAACCTTGAAGAGTTAACGAAATTTCTAAAAAATAATAATAAAAAAAGTTTGACAAATGTTTAATTTTTCAACCATATAAATTTTAAATACCCAACAGAATTTTTTTTATAACAAAATTTTAAAGTTAGGATTTTTAATGGCCTAAAAATGTACTTCACTCTTTAGTTCAACTATTTTTGTCCACTTTGATCATGCCATGTAACCAGAAAACGTTTTCTAAACCTAAGATTCTTTTGGTTCGTTGTAAGAGAAATACATTTAGTCACATTTGTTTGTTTAATATGTGCACATTTTGTATGAAATAGTATTACTTATTACTAAAAGTACAAAGTAAAAATAGAAAAATAATTAATAGAAAAACACCATTTAAATACATGCCACACAAAACCATTATTAGTTAACTTTAATTAAATTATTTATCATTTTTTTCTTAAAAATTGTGTAATGGAATATTCATGATTAGCATCACCTAATTTAAATTGAATGATGACATTGTATACAAAATATTTACGCTGTAAAAAAATAAATTATTTTTAGATCTCTACTCTTTTATAAATTAAATTAAAATAATCTCCTTGTTGTAAAATTGTAAAAATTTTAGAGATAATCTTTAATTGAAGCTTTAGGTTTTATTCTTTCATTATTTGTTTTAAACTGTGTTGTATTCATATTTTTTTCTTTCTTATATTTTCATGTAAATTTCATTTATCTTCATTCATTTTTTTATACATCAAATTTAAAGAAAAGTTGAAAACAACTTTGTATACAAATTGAGTCTTTTTTTTCTTTTTCTTTTTTGTTAAATGAAATGATGAATGTAGAAGCTCTAGATAATGCTGTTTTTTGGATCTCTGCTACCATGGAAAATAAAAAAGTGATAGTTTAAGTACCTTACACTTGAAGCAATGCGATGTTTTCAAACTATATATATATAATTTGGCCATGACAAATTATCCGAACTTAAGATTGGACAAATAACTTAAATATTTTAAAAGTTACAACTTTTTTAAAAATCGTCAATTTGGCGACATTTTTCTATCTAGATGAAAATTATGAAAATCACTGCCGTATTCTCAATTTTTACAAATTGTTATGAGCCCAGGTAATGCAGCATTGGAGTAAGTTTTTAAGTATTAAAATATTAGGCCGCAAATGCTTTTAATTTTTTCCAAAAATGTTTTTTTTTTCTATATTGATGTTTTGGGCCATTTTCAAAATAAGCGTAGATAGCGCTGGCTTTAGATTATCTAAACTTGACATAGCAGTTATGAATAACAGAAGCAAACCCAAGGCAATTATAATTGTATTGTTTGCAAAAAAAACATCATTTCATATTATGACAGAGCGAAATCTTCAAAAAATACCATTAACTCATTGATAAAATACATATTTATTAGAAGTATAACTTTTTCCCAAATTTATACTTTCTAAAAAGGCATATTATTTATTAAGTGATATGTATGAACAGTATTTAATTCTTGTAAGTTAGTTTATGTGATATTTATTTTTCGGCAAACAAAGTGAATGGGCGTTTCTCTTTTTATTCATGCGTTTAAATACACTGCTGAATTGGCTCTTAGTATATAGTTTAAAATATTTTTCTTTAATTTTACTTATTCCTGACAGTGAAGGTTTATTATTATCATAATTGCACTTCTTGAAAATAATTATTAAAGCCTTAATATTTTTATAATCAATTTTAAGAAACTAATATCGCAATACTTCAAATTACATTTTTTAGCCCTACAATTTACAAACAGTTTCCCTGATTTGACACTTAAAACATTACTTACATTTTTGTAGCTGTAGTATTTTCTGGTGAGTTTACATTATTAGATTTATCAGAAAAAGCATTTAAGAAATTCAACTCACAATTATAAAAGTTAACTATACCTAATATTATTAAGCCTGTTTTTGTCAAGATTTCTTACAATCACAATTTTTCTGATAAGATAGCATTTAATGCATAACTTTTTAAATTTAAAAATTTCCATTGATTTTGCATAATTTAAAACCCATTTTAAAATTGTAACTCTTTACAAAAGCTAATTTTTTTCCATATCTTTCAATGTTCAGTAATACCTCACCAATACATCATGAAATTTTCAATGTTGATTTTATTTGTATTAACCTAATATAGGAAACTAAAGGTAAATGATTAATACAAATGTACTATAAACTCTCAATAAAACTCATTTATAAAACTATAAGCTTTCAAAAATTGTGGATATTATTTAAATTATTGAAGAAAAAAATAGCTTTTGGTATAAACTGAAACAAAGCATGATGTTTATTCCGCAGAAAACTCTTTCTTTAGACTCGAACATTTTAGTCAGTAATCAAAGAAAATTCTGAAGTAGATAATCAACCACTGTGTTGTTGAACATATGTACACCAATTTGATGCAAATTAGTTGAACATTAGGGATTTGTTTAAGGATTATATTAATAAACATTTTGTTCTATTTAGAAAGATGAACTGCTACTAATTTTATAGCTATTCTTAGAAGTTCCTGTAAAAATGAAAAGAAATGTGTGAATTGTTTTGATCAAGTGATTTACTATTTTGATAAGTAGATTACTTACTTTGATGTTAAACATCATCAATACATCAAATTTGGTGCAAATTAGTTGAGAAATGGGGACTTCTGTGAAAAATAACAAATAGTCTGTTAAAAATATCATATAAATAAATATTTTGTATTATGTATAGAGATGAACTGCAATTAATCCTATAGCAATTCTTCGAAGTTCCTTTTAAGAAAGAAATTCAGGGATTCATTCAAGGTAAAGATAAGTAGAAAATTTCTCCACATACTTTCACTAATTAGTTCGCATATTTCTTTCATTCAACAAAGTAAATACTCATAAGTCAAAATAGAACCCGTGTCTTACGAATTTTGCTGTTCAACTGACCAAGACAAAGAAGCTTCTGAGTCAAGCTACATTTGCCTGTGTGTAAAATATGGAATAACGTAGATTTTTCCCTTGTTTCAATTGCCATGAAAAACCTAATCAGCCGACCATTCCTTTGCACTTAATTGACGACAATCAATCACTGCTCCAGACGAAGCATGATGTTTTAATCCTGTTGCTGTTTTGTTCCATTAATGTTCCTTCCCTTGACATTTCTGTTTTTCTCTTTTTATATATTGAAATTTAAAATTTTTTAACCAAACATGAAAAACATTCCAATGTAATTGCAATGATCCTATTTCTATTTTATTAATTATTGACTGCTTCTTTTCATTTTGACATTTTTTTTCCAAGGTAGGAATTATTATAAAAGGCTTTCTAGATTGCACTGTCTGGAGGTAATTAACAAGAGCAATCCTTATTAATTTATTTATTTGTTTAGCAAACTTTATAATAATTAACATGAATAATAGATTAAAAAAAATTATATATATTTTTTTTTTTGCTAATTGATTAGATAATTGTTAGCAATTGCTCTCAAATATTCTTTCATTGTTTGTTTCAGTGATTATTTTGAAAATCTGTAAGGATTTAAAAAATTCTTACTTCATTTTTAATATATTTCCTTCCTTTTTTTTTAAATTATTTTTTATTATTGTCGGGCTTTTCATCTTAAACAAATTTTATCATTCAATTTTCTGTAGCCACTTTCAACTTTCTTAATGCCTTCAATAAAGTTTCATATTGTTGGATGATCCATGTCGAATTCGTTTCGCATTCTTAGAAGAGTAGCTTCTACATAATTTTTCGTAAGTGATTCATCATTTAAAGTTCTTTCTAAAACATGCAGAAAGAAATAGTAATTTTTTTTTGGGGGGGTACTTCTTCAATTTTGTCTTCTAATATCTTCACACCAATTCAAAATAGGCCATATGTTGATGGATAAAACTTTTAAAGATTCCAGAGCTTCTTTTATATGTGCCTTTCTTATGAATGTTTTTTTCTCTTATTTTTAACAAGGTGGAGGAAAAAACAACATCTTATGGCTGCATTTGGAAACACTGAGAAATTGCGTTTATTTCTATCTTTTCAAATTCTGTGAAACCCAACAAGTGGTAAATTCAGAGAAATCCATTATGGGCCATGTTTTTGTTCTGCATTAAAAAGCTTCAATTGAATGTCTTCTGTCCTTATCAGGCAAAAAAACACACAATACTGAAAACACAAATTTATTTAGTAACAGAACTGAATTGGGAAAGGACTGTAATGGCAACAGCACTGAAATGTTGTGGGCTGGTCCCAGAAGTTATTATTCTTAAGCCTAATTATTATTTAATGCTGATGCGAGTCAAATTTTTGAGGATGAAAATAAGGTACCATCCTTAATTTTGTAATTTACCCTGCAATAGACCATTCAATTCCTTAAAGAAATATATGTTAGTTATTTTGCTAGAAAGCAATATGCTCTTAATGCTTTTACAAATTATGCATCACTGCTTACTTTTGTAGGATGGTGGGTGTACTAATCCTGGTGATGTGGCAAAAGCTTTTGGTGCTGGTGCTGATTTTGTAATGATTGGTGGAATGTTTGCTGGACATGATCAATCTGGTGGAGATGTAATAGAGAAGAATGGTAAAAAAGTGAAACTTTTTTATGGCATGAGTTCTGCTACTGCTATGGAGAGATATCACGGTGGAGTAGCAGAATATAGGTATGTTTTGTTGAACTAAATGGAATATTAAACCTTTTTTTTTAAAAAAAAAAACCTTTGACCTTTGATGCAGAGTTTTTACTAAGCCTGTTTTTCATACTTTTTTCATTATTTTGTATTAATTTAGGTCAAAATAAGTGAAAAATATTATCTCTAGTATTTTATGCATTTCTAGTTATGAAATACAGCATGAGACACTGTTGTCTTTTTCTGCGTTAAAGGTAAAATCTTCCAATCACGGCTCACCTCCAAGCATTAATTCTTCAAATTGGTACTTATTTGTAGTTATTTAAATCTAAGAGAAAAAGTTTTTCATCTCTGAAATTTATTTAATTTCAAAATCAGTTATTAAATTTCCAAACTCTTTGTTTAAGATTTTATACTTTGCTACAAATATAATACTGATAAACTAACAGATTTTTTTAGTAATTACTTAATTGTTTTTTGTAATTAAGAAATAACAAAATATGTATAAAAGGGACATCAGAGTTATTGCCTAATTTTTGGTAAAGTTTTCTTATTGCAAATTATTGTTTTGATTCAAAACTGTTATAAAATTAATTTCTTAAAAAAAAAAAAATTTTTTTTTTAAATTGTAATTAAATAATTTTTTATCTTAGGGCATCTGAAGGAAAAACTGTGGAAGTACCATACAGAGGAGATATAGAAAAAACTGTTTTAGATGTGTTGGGAGGTCTTAGATCGGCATGTACTTATGTTGGTGCTGCAAAGTTAAAGGAACTTCCTAGGCGTACTACATTCATTCGAGTCACTCAGCAAACAAATGAAATATTCCAAGCCAATGAAGTAAGGGCTTAATCATAATTTAGAAGATTCCTTTTTCCTTTATAAGTTATTTATTTGTTGTTTAGTTTATCGTTTTCTGAAATGTGTTATAAGTTTAATATCTTGAACAAAAGGTGTGTTGAAAAATTCTGTGAATTGTCTCATAAAATAAAAGAAACAAAAGATTTAACCAAACTTAAAGTTGTCAGCAAGCACTTTTTTGTAACGCTCCAAACACAATTGTGACATGTAACTGTTTCCATCTTTATATTTTATATGTTTCATCGTTGTTTTGCCAAATTTGAAGTAAAGCTCGATTAAAGAGTTGCACCATTTTGCAGTGGCAAGCCTTCACACATAGATAAAATTTTTTATAGTATGATCTTTTTCTTAACACTCATAATTGGATGAAAAGAAATTGTCTCTTGCCGTGTTCAGATGAGTCCAGCATTCTAACCAGTGAGATAATTCAATTATGGGACTATTCACTGAACATTTTGAACATATTTTATATATATATTCATTAATGTATTGAGCATAAAAACATTAGGGAATTCTTTTATTTTGTAGTATGTATGTGTATTTTAGCAACACTCATTTTATCACCAATGAGATATATCTGCATATATTTTATAATAAGTACTTGGGAAATGATTATTTTTAAATTCAATACTCATATGGAACGTTTTATTATTGCATATTAATTTTTATAGATGAAGAGCTTAGTGATATTTTTTTAAAAATTGAGACTTCTCGGGGGAAAGTTTTTATTTTAATGCCTCTGTGAAAGTAAGCAAATACTACACACAAAAATCATTAAAATCTTCCTTTATGAAAGAGTTAGAATCGAAATTTTGTTAGTTATATCTTAACAAATAAACTAAGGAAAGACTGGGCGAAAAGCAAAAAAGAGGAACATATGAACTTTAACTCTTATTTACTCAAATTCACTAAAATGTCACTTAGCCGTTACTTTCACTAAGCTCTTCAGATGTCTAGTTAAATCAAGGCAAACAGATTTATGTCTTGCTGTTCAAAATTAGAAAAAATATTTCTACTTGAAATTTTATATTTATAAGACTAAAATTTGCTGAAATGACAATTTACTCACTTTTAATGCTTCTAAAAAAGTGTTAGTTGCATATTAACTAAAATTTAGTTGCAATTAGCATCATACTTTATTAAAATAGTTCAAATAGGTGAGTTATTATGATTTTACTTAGCTTCTTTTGACATTCTACATATGTTTTTTTTTTTTTTAATAAAATTGTTCTTAGCTTCATGAAAGAATTTATAACCCTTATTTTATCACGATTGCCATTCTACTTAAACCTTTTTCTCTTTTGTTTAAAAAAAAAATGAAAAAAATATATGGTTGGATTTGATTAATTGTGCACAATTGACTAATGAAAATAATTTATCATAAATTATTAAGCTTCATCTATGAAATATTTCAAACATGCTATTATTGTGGTTATACTTATTTTATTTAATGAATTTCCTCATAGTTTTATCAACCAAATTTTAGCAACAATTTTATCATACCTGCCATTCTGCATATTGCGTTTTACTTTGCATTTTTTATTTAAAGAAAGAAAATTATGATACCAGAAATGGTCAGATTTATATTTAATTAGATTTTAGTTCTTGATGTAACAATTGTACTTTGAGTACTTCAAAGGTCTTTGCGTGTCAGAGATTTACAGGCACTTTTTCTACAATTTGTCCATCCTTAAAAAATATATATATAATACATATTGCTAAAGAAAGAAACTGCTATGTAAGTAATTTTTTCAAATGGCCTGCTTATATCACTTTAGGTGAATGCATAATACTGTTGTGTGATTACTATTAAAATAAAATAAATTACTCTATAGTAACTGTCATGATAGCATGTTATTAACTATAACACTTATAAAATCTTCTGACTGATTAAAATATGTGTTTTTAACTGTACATATGCATATAAAATATTATTTCACTCTTTTTCAATGAAATTTTAAAAAATCGATATGATTTTTTTTTTCTCTGTAAATTAACACATTTTTTTAGTTCATTAAATTATTCAAGCTAAAAATTTAAATTCACTTTCTAAATGTATTAATTATACTAAACTTTAAGAACAATAAGTGCACCTGATGCTATGGCATTTCTGAGTAAATGTTACAAGTAGTCAATTTTAATCATGAAATTTTCAATAAATACTATCTTTATATGAGGTTTAATTTTACCTTGGCTCTATTTTTCAGATAGTTTTCTTTTAAAATATGAATTTTGAAAAGTCACACTGTAGGAAGCATACCTTTTCCATTTATTTTTCATTTGTCCATTTAACTATGCATTTTAGAAGTTTTGATAATTTAAAAATGAAAATAATTAATACATTATAGCTATCAAATTCATAAATTTTTTTTATAGTTTGGAAATAATTTTCACTATTGTTAAAGTGTAGAACAAATTTTTTCACTGTTTGTTGTCTATACAGGAAAATTTTATTTTTAAGGTTGTTAAAATTGAAATGATTTTTGATAGAGCACGCCATGGGACTAATGTTGTGCTATTTTTAACTGCATGCATTATTTAGACTTAAATTAAGTCCAACAATCTCTTAAGCATTATAAAGATTTGTTGAATGTTTGCCTGCAATTAATTGTTTTGTTAAGATTAAAATAAGTCAGATAATAAAATTTAAAAAATTTTTTTTAATTGTTTTTGGTAACTAATTTACATCTAATTGACTTTTTTATTGTAAAAAAATTTAAAAGTGTATACATTTTTATATGCTGTAATAATCCACTTGTAATGTTCCACATGTAGATTAATAAAATCTATTTTTGTATTACTCTATACATTTTAATGTTTCTGAAAAATATTAATTTTCTTTGATATAGTTGATTAAATTTTATAGTTTCCTAAAAATTCTATATACATAATTAATATTTTCACAATGAACAGATATTATTTTAGCAATGTAATTTGTGAAAACTGCAATAATTTTTATGCTATGAATTTTTTTTTAATATTTATATTTTCAAATGAAATTATTTTTAAATAATACAAAAGGATTTTCACACTGTCAAATATTTTGTAGGAAAATTTTGTTTAAAGATTGAAAAATAAAGTGTTTTAGTAAAAAAATTTAAAATATTATGAATGAAATAATTGATTATTTAAGTACTTATCATTAAATTGAATTAAATTATTAAATATTATTAATTTAATGTCCATGCCAATTATAGTAGATATTTCTGTTTTGCATTATTTTCATTTTAACAAATAATAACATATTTTAATAAAAAATGCTCCCAAACAATCTACGCTTAACGCTTATCTTAAAACACTGCCAAATCATCTTTACTCAAAATATATGTTGAATAACTTTGGAGGATAATAAACTTATAGGTCTTCTGCACTAAAATATTTTAAGTAGTTTTAATTAAATGTACAGTGCGGCAAAAAAAGAGGACTACCCTGATTAATTTTTGTTTACTGATTGGATCATCATGTTTTAGAACTCAATTTTAATGGTTCAAATATGCTAATTAATTATTGTTTATAGTTACAATAAAAGGTAACAGCTATTCGTTAGTTAGTTAGAAATTAAATTTTAAAAAAAGTCTTATATTTAAAATTCCTTTGTTGCAGAACAATTTGACTGAATTCACTCAAATTTTGTATCTTGTCATGTAAAACTAAATACTTTAAAATTATGTGATAAATTGAATACTTACAATGCAAAAAATTTTCAATTGTTATTAAATAAAATTAATTATTATTATTTATTAATTAATGTTTCAGGTCACCCCTTTGAACCATTTAAAATTGAGTCCTAGAAGGTGAAAATTTGGTCATTTGATCAAAAGTTATTCAGGGTGGTGCATTTATTTTTATGTTCACTATACAAATTATTTTATAAAACTATTTTCGTGATGAATTATAAAGTTAATTTCATTTAAATATTAGTGTTTTGTATTCTTTCATGTTTTGCCAAATCTTCTTATTTTTAAAGATATAATCACTGTAAAATGTGATTTTTCTCAATAAACAAAGAAAATAAAGTGCATTGAAATGTGTAGAATAAATTTCTGTTTACTCGTATTCTTATAAAATCAAATTTTCTTATTAAATTTTAAAGGAAAACTTTTATTTTCCTAGTTGATTCTTCAAAACGTGTGATTTTAAATCAATTTTGAAACTAATATGCAAAAATACCTTTTCTTTTTCTTAGAAAACATCTGGTTGACTTCCTGGTTTGCATGTTTCAGATGACTACGCTTAGTGCATGCACAAACTGCATTTATTGTTTCAAGCTGTTGTTTCATAGATTTATTTTCTGAACAATAAGTGCATGTAGCCTTTAAAGAAATTTACAAGTATGTGTGAATCTCATTTATCCCTTATATATCAATATACATAAAATATTATACTTATTTGAATGAGAAATATTCATGTTTTTGAATATTCAATGTGTTATTTTTTTTACGTTAAAAAATTGTTATTTCATTTTTTGACCAAAGATTAATGCAAAAGCTTAAAATGAAATTTACTTAGAGTAAGAGAAAGGGGGCTAGTGTGAACGTTATTATCAATATAGGTGAAAATTTTATATCTGTGATTTTGAAACTGCACTCTGAAATATTGCTAATGAAATATTGCTGCAGTGTTGCTAATCTACCATAACTCAGAAAGGAAATTTGACCTGTAAATAAATTAATTTCATTGAGGTGTCTGATCTAGCTCCGTGTCCACACTAGCTCCCTCTTTCCTATTTAATAATGACTGCTCTTAATATAATTAAAATTTCAATCAAAAAGGAACAAACACTGAGGATTGCAATTTAATATATCTTAGCAAAAAACCCGGTCTAAAGATAGAAAATCGTAATTGTAGAAAATGGGTATTAAAATATCAAATCCTGCTAACTGAAAAAAAAGGGAATAAAATAGAAAAAGGATTAATAGAATTACCATCAAGTTTCATCAGGTTTTGATTCTTTTCAGTCAGTTTATCTTCACCTACGATTCAACGCATTTTAAAGATGTTTTTGTTTTTTGATCACTTAAATATTAATTTGTGATAATTTTTGGACTTAATTTTAGACTAGAATTTTATGGATATATATTAAGGACAGTCTTAACGAAACACCATATGTGTATCAGTTTTGCTTGATTGTACGTATAAATTTTTTTCCGGTGATTCAATTTGCTAGTCTTTCCCAAATGATGCGAGTCATATGTTGTTGCGAGCTTGAATATTTTTAATTATAAAAAAGATCTGATTTATTTTTATATATCTTCTGATTCTTTGCTAAAGATAAGTATGTATTGTGTAATATGCTTTTGTAAATGTGTTCAGCATTTAGATTTATTTTTGCTTTTTCAATTTCAAAATTTAAATTTCATTGTTTGTTATAAATGGACAGTTTGAAAGTCAATGATTAATGTAAAAAACAATGTGATTGCAGCAAGAATAAAGTTGTTATTTTATTGATTTGCGTAATAATTTATTTTGAATTCATTTTCAGTTTTTTTTTCCGCAGCTTATAAGTCTTAATAGTTACATCACTTTCAATTAAAGTGTGTGGTTTTCGAATATTTATTGCTCAAAAAATCTTAAGAATTATTTCTACTTCATTATCGTATTTTTTATTTATATTAACATATTTTATTAAAATAGTATATCATAATTAACATGTTTCGTTTTTTTATACTTTAAAAGACTTAACTGAAGCACTTCAAAATTATAGTATATCAAATTTGGTGAATACAAATCCTCAGTTTCCTATCTAAGTAGTTTATAAGTTTAAATAATCTTCTTACAAATGCATTTATTTTTTTAAATTTTCTGTAATTTCCTTGTAATTAGTATTTCAATTTAAAATTTATTTAAATTCAGTATAAGAAATTCATTCAAAAAGGTTCAAATACTTAATAGATATATAACCACACACTCTATAGAGTTATTGCCTATGCTTACATTCAAAAACAATTTAGACTAATGCATGAACGTAAATAGCATCAGACAAGTACTTTTACAATAAAACTTCTCTATATCAACCAACTTTTTTTTATAAAAACTAATATTTTAAAAGAGATATTCGCTGAAACATTTGTCATCATTGGATTGAATAAACCTTTTACTTAAATATAGTTATAAACTAAATGTATCCTCTATTAATAAAAAAAAACATTTGTTTATTTATTAACTATTACATACTATAATTATAGCCCAGAGTTTTTACCCTTCGCTTTATCCTTAGCAGTAATTTTCACTCTCTTTACAATTCAATCTTCATCTTATCTTTTAAAATTTTATAGTTTTCGATTCTAAACTTAATCGATTCATGAACATACAAAGTTGAAGTTCAAAGAAAAAAGGCAGCCAATTTAGAAATGATAGTTTTTATATTGATTATTACATTTACCTCCAGTACTTTTCTAATTGATTTTTTTTTTTATTTTCTTGCAAAATTTCTTTACATGTACTTTTTAACATACAATATTTAAGATACAGAAGAAATAAAAACTATAACACAAATTTTATGGGATGCATTTTAATACTGACAAATATGAAAGTAAATGACAAAAATGTTGGAACTATTCTACATTGCTTTTACAATCACCTTTTTTTACATGATATACAGCAATTTGTTGCATAAAATTTCAACTTGCAAAGACGCTGGTTAACTGAAGTTGAGCACCAATGATACTGATCTGCACAATCTAAAAATATTAAATAGTGAATCATACCATATACTATGTTATTTTGAAACTTAAAAGCAAATTTGATAGTACAGTTTTTGACATATTCAAAGTTTAAAGCTTCAGTAATAATTGTAACTGTTCTTATTAAATATATGTTATCTTCAAGTTAAGCTGTTATTGAGAGAACTTGAAAGCATAGAAATATTTATTTTACTATAACTAGCTGTCAAATTTTTTTAAAAATTTATACAAAGTATAATAGTGAATAATCTGTTGATCAAAAGTAATCATTTTAAATGTAAAAAAAAGAACTATTTAAATAAAAACGAATAAGTTTTTTGAATAGGTTGATTTTTGAAATCCTTTTCTAATTTATGATTTGAAATGTTTATATAAAATAGGACACATCAGGGTAATTTTCGGGTAAAAAATTCGCCAATATTTTATAAATTGTGAAAATTTTGAAATTTAAATTACATATAAACATTTTTTGACAAATTGTAGAAAAAATTTCTAGAAATTGAGAAAATAGAGTTTTTCTATATTTTAACATCAGGGAATACCAACCTTAACTGCTAAAATTTCCAAGAGCATTCAATATTTAAAGTTCCAAACATAAAGCGTATTGTAAAGTAAAATATTTCCACCTTTTAGTTAATGCTTTTACTGATTATGTGTTTACTATGTATGAAAAATGAAAAAAATCCCATCAATGTATGCACTTTTAAGCGTTTTTGGTTATTCATTGACTGTCTTTAATTGGTTAAGATGTAATGGCCTTTAAATGTACAAGTAGTTAAAAAAGAATAATAAGGTAAATGAAGAAAAGTAGTTTTTTCTGTTTTTTAACATTAAAGAAAACCAACCTTAACTGCTAAAATTTCTTGGAGCATACGAAATTCAATATTTAACTTTCCAAACATGAAGCACATTGTGAAATAAAATTTCTTCTTCTTTTAGTGATTACTTTTAATGATTACATATTTCTACTTAAGTATAGAAAATTGCTGTCAACTTTGGCAGTTTTGAGCACTTTTGGTTATTGATTTAACTGTAATTAACATGATTTCTTTTAAATGTACTAGTAGTTTAAAAAAAAATGTTAAGATACATAAAAAAATGTCTTACTTGAATACTCTAATTTGGTGCAATTCTGCAGAGTGCAATTTTGTTTTGTGTCTGGTTTGGGATAAAAGCTACATTTGCTGTTACTCTGGATGCTTCCATCCAATTTCTTAACACAGGTTACATTTCTTTCTCGTCTTCCTTTGTCACAGTCTCCTTCACACTGTAAAGCAAAGCAAATTTAACTTTAAGCTAGGGTTCACAGTTTTTTGGTATTTTTTTCGGACTTAATGTTTCTTGATTGAATGTATGAAATTTGGATGTTAAGAAGGAAAGAAACTAAAAGAACTTTATTATAATTAAACAAAATTGTATATTGCCAATTTTGATGTATTACAAACACAAAGAATAAGAATATTTAATTCATTGCTCACTTTTGACAATGTCCTGTTCAAGAGAGAGTCTGACATTAATTTTTTGGTAGTCAAGAGGGCTCACCAGTTCCAGCTGACCGTCTAGTTGGGCAGATCGATCCCAACCAATAACTTTAAAAAGGATTGTTAGATCAAAAATCAATGGGGATTTCCATCACCAATTATCAGAAAGGGTAAAAACCAAAGTATGGGGAGATCTTCGACAGAACACCATTCCAGATTGGCCGCACCGCGAAGCGGTGACTCAGTTTCGACTATATACCGGACATGAATGCCTAGCCACGCACCAGTTTCGTTGACTTTTTGCTTTCTTGTTTTGTTCCTGTGTTTTTGCTTTTTAACATGTCAATTCACCTCTGCCATTTGAAATAAATAATTCATTGCTCAACACATTTTTCCATTGTACATTTTCTGCAAACATATTTTACCAGATACGCGAGCATATTTTACCAGATACCTTTGTGCCTGTTAAACAAATTGTAGATGTAAATAAATCACTTCAAAATTTTAAGAAAATATTCTTCATGTGTCATACTTTAAGTATACTCAGAGAAAAATTGAATCCTTTCAACATGACTCTGATGAATTTCGATTAGAAAAATAAATTCACTAAATTTTTGTAATCTGGGATTTATTTAGTACAGTTTAAATATTTTTTTATTGAATTAGTGCTTGGCACTTACAAAATTGAAGCAAAACTGTATAGACAATTTAGTAAATCATAAAAAATACAAATGTTCCAGGAGGAATGAATGCCATTCCATAAAGGCTCTCATGAGTTTTTTTCTTTTTGGTTTTTGTTCCATATAGTAATGTAAAAGTAATTCTTTAAAAGAAAGTTAATACTGTGATTCTTACTTCATTCCAAACACCTGCTATCCATGAGAATTCAGGGTTCAAGTGAAGTGTCACACAATCGTTTATCTTGCATTTGCGCATGTACGGTGGTTGTAGTTCTTCTTTGCAGAGAGAGAAGCTTTCAGCTGTTCCATTTGTTTCTCGCCTACACGTTATGGAGCGTGTTTGAAATCCATTGGAACATTTTCCTCGACACTAAATGAAATAAATTATCTGTTGCAAACCATATTACATCTACCAAGCAGTCATTAACACTATATTTAAATTATGGCTTTCTATTTTTGAAGCTTTAAAGCCATGCTTTTTGGGTTAATTAAAAAATAAATTATGTATATTTAATCGAATGATAAAATTGAAATAAATAATTTACTGTTAATTCATTAAAATGTAATTACAATCAGGGGTCTATAAATCCCTAAGTTGAGCTGGAACCCAATATTTTTGCCTTCATTTGTCCAACTTTGATATTTGTCTTAAAATGACATATTTTAAGACATTATTTAAATTTTATTCCATACTTTTTACCACTTTATTTATTTTGAGACAATATGAAATTAAAAATGTTAGTTGTATTTCTTATTTCATGAAAACAAAAAGTTATTGTTACTTTCCGTACCTTAATATACTGGCTCTTACAAACTTTGACCACATCTGGTTAGATTTTAATAACTAATTAATACATTGATCTGTAACTTATTTTACATTTTCTGTAAGTGAAATGCTTGTTTAGTTTTGATGTTTGAAATATGTACTCATAAAAGAACAAGCTTTAATTCTCATGAAAAATTGATTTGGAATAAAATACATATCCCACTGTTGTTCCTGTTCATATCAAAAATTCCACCATATGCAATCCACAAAAGGGAACAAGTTTTGAATTAAATAAAAATATAAAGAACTGAAAAGTCAAAACTTCCTAAACATTCTATTTTAAGTAAATCCTGGTGGTTTCTTGGCATAACTTTAATGCTCCTATCGATGGGCATCCATTTCCAAAATTAATAAGCGTTGAGAAATTCAACATTCTTTCTTATACACATTATTTTCTTTACATGTTGCATTTTCTGTGCTCAATTAAACTCTTCTTTTTTTGGTTCAATTTATTAATAAAACTCAGTTTAGTATAAAATAAAATCATACCAATATTTATATATTTAATGAATGATAAAAAGACTTGTATTGAAATTGGAAAATGTTATGGATGGGATGGTCTGTACCATTTATCGTCATTTTGCTTTTGCACAATTTGCAAGTTTAAATTGATTATCAAACCTAAGTTATGGGTGATAATATGGATAATTTAACTTACTTTTGACCATGGTCCAGTGTGCCAGGAGTACTGACATTTATCTTTCGTGCATTCTTTTATTTCTTCAGGATGCGTTTTCTCATCACATTTGGAATTTGATACTTTCTTACCATTTTCTGTGCAGTATATTTGTCTTGTTTGAATTCCAGGATCACAAGGATTTAAACTACAAAATGACCACTCACCCATATACCATCTGAAATTCATAAATATATTAAGATACAGAAATTGCAAATTATTTGCGAACTTGCTTTACTATGCGTGTTCTATAAGTGAATACACTATTCTATTTAATTAACCCTATTTCATTACTTTCTGACTCTAATGGTTGTTACACACGAGCCTGCATGTGCATTTTAAAAGTTGATCATTTGTTATCTTTAGTTATTATATTCTATTTTAATACCAAATTTCATTTACTCAATTCACTAGTTCTTGAGTTAGTAACAAAGTACGAAAACTCTCTTAATATTTAACACCAGTGTATTTCCTTCCTCTATTGTGATTCATCATATTTCGGTATCAGTATTATTTCTTTTCGCTTCAATATTGATAAGTGTATATTTTGTTGGTTTCACTTGACCTGTGATTAGGTGACACTATGCAAACAAAGAAAATACATAGCATAACAAATAATTTATTTGCACCAATGTCTGATGAAATTTAACTGTGAATTCAATGTAAACTGCATAAACCTTGAAAACATACTTTAACAGAGCTAAGTAAAGTTAATACAAATCCTCGAGTAACGGTTTATTTTCAAGCTAAAGTAGGGTACAAAAAATGTCATTTTTAAAGTGCAGTAAAAATTATCTCGTAAGACAAGCCATATCGCCAACCTCAAAATTAAGCCCGCATTTTTAAAGCTTAAAAAAACTAGACTAATTATAAATGTTAATTGCTTATTAAAGCAATTAACATTAATAATTAGTCTTTATTTTTTTTAATGTGTCACAAATTATATCAAAACTAAAGAACCGATCGTAAAGAAGTGTATCGAAATTATTTCCTATCACGAATATAAGGTTTAGAGTTATAAGTACTTTCTCTAGCATAAAGTGTTTACTCATGCATGTAAGAAATTTTGCCAATTTTCTATCAGTTACGGAAATACATATTATCGAAAATAGAGAACTTAACAGAATTACTTTAAATATGCTGAATTCTTCAGTTTTGCAAAACGAATTTAAAGGCAACAGAAATGAAAGCGTTTTCTTGGAGAAAAAAAATTGACGACTTATTTAATGCACGAACGTAGACTTTAGAAGAAGAAAAAATCTTAAAGGGCAAAGTTTACCAAATAAATAATAAACTGCATATTTTGTAATTAACTAGTTTTGGAATACTGTCTTATACTAACTTGGCTTCACAGCTCGCTTCATTGCAGGAATAGGTTTTGATTTTAGGCTTTTTAGTATCATCGCAATATATATCATTGACTGACTCTCCCATCGAGTTCACACAAATTGGCTTCAATAAGACAATTCCTAAACAGAAAATATTATATATATATGCATATTATAAAATATAAGTCAAGTAGCTGTTTTTTAAGTGAAGAAAAATTTTATTTTTTGATTCTACAAACGTTTTTCTTTTTCAAAATAGTTGCCAAATTTGCTTAAACACTTATAATACCTTACAACTAGATTTAGAATCATCACTCTCTTCACAGTAATTTGCCTCCTGCTCCGATAACCAAGAGGTCACAACCGTTATCACGTCATCGTTGTACCGGTTGCCGCCAACCTGATGTTTGAAACATCGGAAAAGATGAAAATCACTTAGCGCAAGGTCTGTACAGTATGGAGGGATGGTCCAAAACTTCAGAGCCGAAAGAGTCCATTGAAGCTCGGGACTGGGCTGTGGGAAGAGTCATTGTCATGGAGTAGCAAAATTTCCTGTCAATATGCCAGTAGGAAACTTCGTAAACTTCACAAATTTTACCGGTGAATGTATGCAGCAGGCAGGATTTTTGCCGACGAAAAATACATCACTGACCGTACCTCATACGCTGCTGGCCATTTCTTAAACTAGAACATTTTAAAGACGCAAAACTGACCGTACAGGTTACCTACGCAGCTGCAACTGAGCACAGTTGTTCCCAAGGAATGCCTGGACACGACGCAAGCACTCGTTGCTACGCACGCGTACCTATTAGTGCACACAACAAAACGACCCTTACTTAAAAAACAGCCCTCGTATTCTAAACAGTTCTTTTTTTCAAAAAATGGATGATGTATAAAGAAATTAAAAAGTGATTTACCTTTTCCACACGTAACTGAACAAGACGAATTATGTAGCGTCCAATGGTGCTCCGCCAACGGTATGACAAATTCATAATGAATGACAGTATCTGCTGGTTCTTGCACTAAAACCTTATAATACAAAAACACTAAAATAAGAACTAAAATGTTGACAATAACGAGCATATTTCGTTATATTGCATTAAGCTACTACTATTATTAATTTCATACATAAAAGGGTTTTCCGTAAATACCGCTCTTAATGTGTGTATTTAAATTTCTTTACAAAAGTGAAGTAAAAATAATAAATGAAATTAAAAAAAATAGCTCTGAATAACTTTTGATCGAATAATCGGATCTTTGAGTTCAAGGACTCAATCGTATTAGCTCGAGGGGGTGTAATTTCAAATATGCTAATTAATTAGTGCAAATGATATTTTAAGTTACGAAATCAGACACGAAATGTACTTTCTCTGCATGAACATGCATTTTTTACGACAAATTCTAATTTCTGATTCCCAAAATATAGGGCGTAACCAAAAGTTTGGCCCCCTTCATTTTAATTTTTGCGTACTTCGCCATATCTCAATATAGGTCGAATAGTTCCTGAGAAAGAAAAAAAAAAGTGAATTTGAAATCTACTACTTTTTTGGTCCTTTTTTTTTTCTTTTATTTGAGGTTTACAAATTATTTTTTGAAAAGAAGAAAAACATAATCGTTATTAAAACCTGACAAATAATAATTGAAAAAGACTAGATTAAATGAGTTGATGGCCGGAAAGATGAGAATGTTTCTAATAATCTATTTTTCACTATCTCTCATTTTCCTCCAGCAATCAAACAGGTTTTAATGTCTACAGTCTCTCGTCAATGATTTCCCAGGTTTCCATAAAGTTTTTTTTGTCCGCTTGAATTTCAGATCCTCCTCCATTTTTTAAAAAAAAAATTTACTTGGTGTTTTACTTAGATTATGAAAATATCTATGACACCCTGAATAAATATTGGCAATCTTGCTTTTTTTTTTACCTCAACTATGAGATCCTCAATTGTTGGACCTTTAGTTAAGAGACTTTCAGGTTTCCCAGGCCAACGGCGATAGCTGAACAGAGCTCCAACAACACTATACCTTCCTGGCCAATCTAATGTCCAATTACCATTAAGTTTATACCTACCACTCTTGCTTTTTAAAGCCAAGAAGGTTGAAGTTTCGTCCAATTCATGTATACTAATATGCCTGGAGTGAGTCGGTATTTTAATAACTTCGTGGTAACCTAGAAGAATGTAAAAGAGTAAGGTTAAATTAATGTATGCAATTAGCAATCAAAGAATCCAAAATTAAACCAAAATATTCAACTTTTAACCCACAAATCCAATGCAGTGTGTTCCGAAATTCGACCAATAAATTCAGAAGGGCTACAAACGGCATCAAGGGGATGAAAACTTAACAAAGTACAATGGGTCGTTAACTACGTTGACAGGGTTAAAAACAAGATCTTCCACAACCATGGTAACGGGAAGGGAAAGGAGTAGAGAGTGGGAAAATCGCATAACCTTGAGACTCCTATTCTATATACAAAGAGTACAATAGGCCATTGGAAGACTGGAAATATTCTGGGATTCATAAATACACAAGTGGACATCTTTGTTGTGCTAAAAAACAAGTTACACCTTTGTGCTAAAATACAAACTAAGGCAAACAACGTTAAGGAGCACAAAAATATTTATAAAATACAGTATTTTATAAATATTTTTGTGCTCTTTAACGTTGTTTGCCTTAGTTTGTATTCTGGGATTCGTCTTTAATTAGTAAACAAAATAATAATGCCTTATATTCTAAATAATTTTATGTCATAGCCCATAGCTTATTAAATTGATTATAGAATTATTTAGTGATAATATATCTCTATGAACTCATGTTAGTTAAATTTTTAAGCCTAATACAAAAGATATTGTTATTATTTTATTGTACTTATGGGTTTATGATTTTTTTTTAAAATTTTACTGAACAAAATGTTATTAAAAAACTAATAATAAGTTAACATACCAACAGAAAGATTGGACGTATAAAAATTTCCCTTAATGGTTTTGCAAGTGGAATTATCACCATTACAAACTCCACATTGATCAGGTATTACAGTTGAATCTATTTTTCCATCACAGCCTACGGCCTATAGTAACAGCAAAGAAACAAACTAATACGTAAATAGTATAAACAAGAACTAACTAAATACTATGGTATCAAATTTTAAATACAAATATATTTTTCTTTTATCACCCTCGCTAAAAAGTTAATCCATATCAGTCCAGTCGACCAAGCCAGTCGACAGCTTTTATAAAATTTAATAAATTGTCGATACAATGCAAAAAAGTGCACTTTATAATTATTGTTTAATTATGAATGAATGTGATTATTCATTTAATAGAATTATAATATACTGTTACCACTTACTCTGCATTCACCATCAACGCAGACGCTGGAATAGTTGCCGCTACAGGATGTTCCATCTGGCAGTTTAGTAGATAAAACTAAATACAAATCGTCTTTATCTGGCACACAATATATGCGGCAACGAGACAAAGCTGTATTTGGGGAAAAATAGCATTTAGAATGAGTTGCAAAAGGAAAAAGTGAAATTTTTGCTTTATAACATTTTTATTTTTCTAATTAAATAAAAAATTTCAATTTAGACCTTTTTTCTCGTTGTGTGCTAATAAATATTTTTAAAAAAATGGCTTAAGGACAACTCTCGCACAGTCATTTACATAATAGGATGTTATGGCTTAGATTCATCTTTCATTTGACCTTATTATTGTACCTTTATAATTTTGGTGCATTTTCATGCGTAGTGCAAATCTCGCGGTGTTAAGCGTAGATTCTTGCAGGATAATGCTCGAGTCTACTCTTAATAATTTTTACTGACTGTCCCTACAAACACGTCATGGCGAACTAGATCACTAGACCTCTCTCCAATTGTGCAAGTAGCATTTGAATTTCCTGATGTTTTAATAATTTTTTTTTCTCCAACCGAATGAACAACTAGTCAAATTTTCATTTTGTGACGTAGCTAAGTTAACCGTAAGCCGATTATAAAACATAAAGCGTCCTTATAAAGGGCATTTTTTTTTACTCTGAATGTAAACAAAAATCGGCTCTGAAGTGCCTCATAGTATTTTCCTTACTCGAAGGTGCAGAAAGCAAAACTTGTTACCTTATAACAAAGAGGTTAAGCTTTTTAACTTGCTTCGGAGATCACCTTATTTATAAGGCAAATATAAGCAATCAAACCGAAGCGCTTTCCCGTTCCAGTTGTGTATTCTATTTTCTTTTTATAAATTCTTGTTCTTGGACTTTATTTATGCAGATAAACTAGAGTTTGGACTTTTCTTCTATTATATCATGTTACTATGGAAACAACCAACCGGTGGATGTTCTCTTGTGCTCTTCATGATAAATCTAGCCTCTTAACTGTTTCGGTTTGAATGCCTATGTTTACTTTATAAATAAAGTGATCTTCAAAACAAACAAAGAGATTTAACCGGTTCTATACGGAACAACTGGTTCTATTCTCAAACATACACAAAGCAGAGCGCTTTGTTTAAACCGGTTTTTGTTTATATTCAGAGCGAATAAGAGGACTTTTATGAGGAAAATACTCACGATTTGGCTTTAAGCTTGGTTTACAATTAACTGTTGTTGATTCTGCGTGTTTAATCACCTTATTTTATTATTTCTAAGAATCTTGCTAATTGAGTAGAAAATGGATTATTATAAATGCTTTGAATAAGTTCTATAAAGAAGTTATACTATCCGAATGCTTATTTCAATATTTAACCAAGTTATACTATTTTAATAAGTTCCATAAATTCTATTGATTTTTCAAGTAGTAAGTTAAACAAGGCAACTCTTTGTTTAACTTACTACTTTATACTCGTGTAAGCGTTTCATATAATATACAGAATTATTCTTTTATCAGAAAATTTTAAGCGAGCACTGCAAAAATAAATTAATTTTCTTTATTCTAATTTTATGTTAATTTAATTAAATGGTTTTTGTTTACGTTTACTGTTTTAAAAATGTGTTCTATAGCAACTTGCCTCCTAAATCTTTTCCGTAAGGATTCCACTTGTACAGTTTTCCTTTTACAGTACGTTTGTTGAACGTTGAACATTGTTCATTTTGAAAGTCACCGACAGCAGAAAGGCATTTCTATAAAATAATGATGATATTTGGAGTAGGCTGCATAAAATACAAATAATAAGGAAAGTTTAAAAAAAATGAAAAAATTGGAAATGTAATTTAAATAATATGAAGATGTTTTTATATATAATTTGCTTTAACATAATATATCGCAGAATTATGTAATCATTCTTTACTCATGTCAGAAAAAAATTCGGACAATATTTCTCATATGCCTTTACATGCATCCACGACAATGAAGAATTATAAAATTTACCTGGGCATTGCAAATTTGATATTCCCTTTCTTCACCTTTGCAGTAACTACCGCCATTTGCTGGGCTAAAATTTAAAATAAAAAATAATCAAATAATTATGTAAATACGAAATTTATGGTATTGTTTAATGTTATTGTTATTGAAAAATGTAAGGACGTAATACACATAAACATGTATATCCATGTTTACGCATAATCATAATTTACTACAGATTTTTCTGTACAAGTTAAAAACTAAGGTGTGTTGTCCGCTTTAATGGAAATTTAGAAGCATTAAAAGTGAACATCAGGACAACCTGGCTGGGAAGAATGGAAAAACTTCTAAAGAAGACCTTTGGCTCGCAAAGGGCTCTCGATTTGATAAAGACATTACAGAACGGTACAGGACAAGAAGAAGACATTACAGGCTGTGGCAAAACCGGGCAAACAATTTTTAATATAACTTTATTAAAAAAATAAACAAATTTAATAAATTAATAACAAATAATAATTAGAGTAGACTTTTAGTAATAAATAAATTTAATTGGCTTAAAAGTTGCCACCTTTAGCAACGATGCAGAGGCGCATACGCTTATTTAAATTTTCAGCAATGGGCCGCTAGTTAGTGCTGAGAGAAATTCATTTTCGCTGATGAGAAGCTATACCGCGCAACAAACTCCTAAATTACAGAACGATTGAATCTGTAGAATGTCTGTAGATACTCCAAGAACATCAGAAATTGTTGAACATCGCCAAAATCCATAGTCTGTCATGGTCTGGGGCGTAATTCGCGCAAGCGAAAAAACACTTCTACCTTTTGTGAATGAGAACGCTAAAATAAATAAAAAAAAATGAAGCAGTTGGACGTTCGAAAGGCTGTTGTACTTCTGTGGGCCAAAAAAGCACTTCCGCAATGTAAACTGGCCGTTTCAACAAGACACCATACCAAACCACAAGAGCAAGAAGACACAAAAGTGTTGAAAGGCACATTTTGCGGAGTATTTAAACATTAGCCACCCTACTCGACAGATCTCAATCCCATGCATTACAGTATATGGTTCATTCTGAAGTCTAGTGTTGCACTAAGCGACACTAAAATTTGGATTCTCTAAGGCAATTGCTTATTCTCTAAGGCAATTGGAGATAGATTAAAGGTAAAATACTTGCAACCCATTGCTAAAAATGTTTGCAAAAGGCGGCCAATTGAAACCAAGTTAGTAAAAATCTAATCTTATTATAATTGTACTTTGTTTATTTATTCTTAATAAAGTTATAGTAGTAATAGCAGGCATATATGCGGCGGAAGTGACGTCACAGTCAACCTGAGCTTATTTCTGCCCCAACCGGAAGTTGCTTATTTCTGCCCACCCGTAAACCGGAAGTTGCTTATTTCTGCCCACCTACAAACCGGAAGTTGCTTATTTCTGCCCGCTTGCTTATTTCTGCCCGCCTGAAACTTCGTCTGCAGCGTCATGGGGAGCTTATTTCTTTTTTTTCTTAAGCCTAATATATTTTTAGTTTCGGTTTCTGTTTTTAATTTAGTTTCGTTTTTTAAATATTATTTAATTTATTAGTTTTTTGAGGGTGGCAACACTTATTATTTTTTATATTAGTTTTTAAGGATGGCAACACTTAGAAACTTTGTTATTTGGGGAGATATTGTATATTATGAAGTTATGACGTCATCTTTTATTACATAACACATAAATGATATCATGCTTTTACTCTAGTCGCGCCATCTATGTGGGAATAAAATNCTTGAAAGTCACTGGAATGTTCCTCGAACCAATCTATGACTATTCGACCCTTATGACATGGTGCATTATCCTGTTGGTAAACACCATCCCCCGCAGGAAAAACTGTTGCCAATGAATGGGTGAACCTGGTCTGCAACTATGTTCAAGTAGCTTATAGACGTCAGGAATTGTTCTACGAGGATTATGGGTTCTAATGTGCCCCATGAAAACATTGTTCCTGGGCGAGCTCATTGTTATAGATGGATGGTGGTCATAATGTAATGGCTCTTCGGTGTATATGGCAGAATTATGTAATCATTCTTTACTCATGTCAGAAAAAAAATGCAGACAGTATCTCTCATGTGCATTTACATGCATCCACATTAATGGAGAATTATAAAATTTACCTGGGTATTGCAAATTTGATATTCCCTTTCTTCACCTTTGCAGTAACTACCGCCATTTGCTGGGCTAAAATTTAAAATAAAAAATAATCAAATAATTATATAAATATAAAATTTATGGTATTGTTTAATTTCAAAATGTAAGGACGTAATACACATAAACCTGTATATCCATGTTTTCGCATAATCATAAACATGGGATTTTTCTCCCTTATATTTTCCTTTATAAGTTAAGGACTACGGTGTGTTGTCCGCATTAATGGAAATTTAGAAATATTAAAAGTGAACACCAGGAGACAACCTGGCTGGGAAGAATGGAAAACTTCTAAAGAAGACCTTGGCTCACAAAGGGCTGTTGAGTTGATAAAGAAGAAGACATTACAGGGTACGGCAAAAAAACCGAACAGACAATTTTTAATATAACTTTATTAAAAAAATAAACAAATTTAATAAATTAATATCAAATAATAATTAGAGTAGACTTTTAGTAATAAATAAATTTAATTGGTTTAAAAGTTGCCACCTTTAGCAACGATGCAGAGGCACGTACGCTTATTGAAAATTTCAGCAATGGGCCGCTAGTCGGTGCTGAGAGAAATTCATCTTCATTGATGAAAAGCTATATACCGTCCAACAAGCTCATAAATCACAGAACGATCGAATCGGGGTTTGTAACCAAACCACTCAAAGAACATCGGCAATTGTTGAACATCGCCAAAGTTCATAGTCAGTCATCGTCTGGGACGGGACTTGAGCAAGCGGAGAAAAACTTCTGCTTTTTGTGAATGAGCGCTCTAAAATGAATCAGTGGGACGTTCGAAACGCTGTTGTACTTCTGTGGGCCAAAAAAGCACTTCGGCATTGTAAACTGGCCGTTTCAACAAGACTCCTAACCAAATCACAAGACAAAAACGACACAAAAGTGTTGCAAGGCACATTTTGATATCCTTTAAAAAATAGCCACCCTACTCGACAGATATCAATCCCATGGATTACAGTGTATGGTCCTTTCTGAAGTCTAGTGTTTGCACTAAACGTCACAAAAACTTGGATTCTCTAAAGCAATTGCTTCGGTGGGATTGAGATAGATTTAAGGTAAAAGACTTGCGACCCATTGCCACAAAAGTGTTTGCGCCGCTGCAAAAGGCGGCCATTTGAAACCAAGTTAGTAAACATCTAATCTTATTATAGTTGTACTTTGTTTATTTATTCTTAATAAAGTTTTATTAAAAATTGTTCGTACGTATTTTTTGTCGCACCCTGTTTTAAACATTAACTAGCTACTTACTTCGGAGAATTGCAGAATCTTTCCCTAACCATTAAACCTCCACCGCAAGAAGCAGAGCACGATGACCAAAGACTAAACGATCCCCATCCGCCGTCTATAATTTTTAAACTTTCCACTTCACGGTCAACGCATCCACCTTTACGACACCACTGCAAAAAAAAGGAACAAATTGGATTACCAATAAATAATAGTTTATTTAGGAATTAAAAAGATTTAAATCGTGAAACTTACTTTATTTTTACCACATGGAGTACCTTCCGCTGCTGGTAGAAATTTAGTTTCACATTCCCTTCCATTTCTTTGACACCACAAAGCTCGACACACCTCACCCTGGAAGAAAAATAAAATAATTGCTTGAAACACTTTACCTAATTAGAAATAATACCAGGCAGGGTCTGATTTAGAAGATGTATGAATGTAGGCAAAATATGATACATTTTAGCATATTATATGAAAATTTTTTGCGCTATTTAAAATTTATTTTTAACTTGAAGGAACCTATTAAATCTTAGTCAATTAGGTTTCAACTCTTGCATCAGCATTTCAACCTTTGCAGCATTTTCCATATTTGTATCATATGTTCTTTGTTATACATTTGATATACACTTGTTTCTTGAAAACCGCATCGTTTGGTGGTGCATTCAAGAACAGGTACTATATTACTGAGCATGGCCTTTTTTTCTATGCTAAGAGAACTTATTTGATTACAGTCTAAATCAAAAGCGACTGAAGTCAGTTTTTATTGTTACCTTTAATTAAATGTTAGGATTTTTAACAAAAATAAAAACTATCGTATCAAACACAAGAGGAACAGTAATAATTCAGACTATTACAACTATTCAGATTTTTTAAAATTCCCATTAGTTGTGCCCTTTAATTTCTAAAGAGTTAAATTGGTAATTTTGTATACTTTATGATAGTAATATTTAATTTTTAATTGATATTTTTATGCTAAAATGCTGAAAGAGCACTTAATTGCGAAGACTAACCTGCCTTGGGTAGTGTTCACAAAGTCTAGATTTGGTCCCGAACTGCAGCCGACATTGCATGTCGGCGTCATACAACTGTCCTGGAAGATGATTAGGAAATTGCAACTCATCAGGAGAATCTGGCTCATTTTTTAAACAGGAAGATCTAGGTGACCTATAAATAACCAGGAAAAAAAAATTAGATAATTCTAAACTACGCAATTTTTTATTTTTACTATTTGATTATTTAATGTTGTCATTTATTAATAGTTTTGTCATTTTGTTACCATAGTTTTTGATAAATCTTAGAGTTAGAATGTTTTGTGGTACGGTGTGTAACAGAAGAAAAAGTACGAGTTTGAATTAAATAAACGTCTAGTCTTAATTGGTCGAAGCGTTTGGTGATCGTCTCCATGCCTTCGGTTTAGAAAGGCACACAATATCAAAATACATTAATCGATGAAGTATTTGTGTAAAAATGTAATGCTTAGTGCTACTATCAACTTTTCGAACAACTATTTTTAACACTTTTTACAGTTATTATGCACACTTTGAAATATTGAAAAAGAAACTTTAGCTAAAATACCCTGTGTCAGAATAATTTACGAACAAATGATGACTTCATTCGCTTCAAAAATATTCAGATTGAAAATAACAGTCGATATGGTATTAGTTCTTCACAACCTCGCCATAGTGCGTAGAAATGCATTTTACCCTGATTTGCTCCTGTCAGCCACAGAGGTTTTTCTTGTTCTGTTTTTCATCTTTATTTTTATTCTCTTTCGGTTAATGAGGTTTTTCTAGTCCTGTTTCTCACCTTTACTTCGCTGGCAACTTAACGTTTTATATTTTAAATCACTTTTGTTTCGTCTCATTCAAGTCTTGAAAATGGGCGTCTATTTTTTGAATGCTTGAACCTTGCCGAATATTATTTCTGCATATTTTTGAAGCAAAGGCATTTTTTTAATCTCGTAATATCCTACCGTTTCAGTTTCGTGGGATTACTTATTTGATAAATTAAATTGCACGAATGTTGAAAAAATAAATTTCAGAACGTTTCAGTTTTAAAATAGTTAAACCCTAGAAAATGTGATGCGTACTTTGTTCAACCTATGGAAATATAGCAAACGAATATTCTTATTAAATAATTCTAAATCCGCTTCTAGAAAAACAGAAATTGTTCAATTTCGAAATTGATAGAAAAAAAATGCGCAATAAATATTGATTTATACAAATAGTTTTAAAATTATCAACAAAAAAAAAAAGAAAGAAAAGACTAATACTAAGTGTAATGAGATTATTTGAGTAATAAATGAATGAAGTGAAATACGAAGAGAAGTCATATCATCTTAATTAAAAGAGATCATTTGCATAATAATCGCATGTCAAATGTGAGAGCCATGTTTGCTATAACAACTAGAACTGATTTACCAAGAATAAAATAATCTAAAAATCTCATATCATCATCATCATCTATATTAGTTATTTTATTCTTGGGGCCGTTTTTTTCTTAAAGGGATACAAGTACCATATTTTTATTAAATCCAGATAATTGGAAGTAATAATTTCAGGAATTGCTTTTAAAACAATTAAAAAATATTGGCCGAAATTTATCAATTCGTGTCCTACTTCGTTAAATATGTGATAAAAAAAAATATCGAAAGGAGATTCTTTGTTACTCAAGAAAATTTAATATCTTTAGCTATTATTGAAGGTCCTGCATTTAATTTACTGGGCGAGTGTGTGTTTGTCTCTCGCGAACGCAGCTCACACTTAAAGTGTTGCCGGACACAGTGTTGTGGGTGGAAGCCCGTACTCCAGGAATTTGGCCAGGTCCCGCTTACTGCAGTCCGACCACAGGACACTGGTATCCAGTCCAGAAAGAGAAGCTGACATAAGGGTACCCCTTTTCCGCCGGCATGGTGAAGAACCTTGACCATCATGTATCATCCCAAAACTGAAAAAGAAACAGTTATGGAAGCGTCAAATATATGCTTAAATGTATTATATTAATTTAAAATTAAGTTTGTATAAATGACTAATTGTAAAACAAATCTAAATATTATATTACTGAAAATAGAGTTTATTATAGATTAATGGTCAATTAATTATATTGAATTTTCAAAATTTTGTTTCAAGTGTAGTTTGTAATCTTATTCTACGTGTTATCTACATTTATTACTCTACTCAACTATTAAATATGTTAAATAACCATAATCACGCAGAAAAATAGTTTTAGTAAATTTCCGAGATTACATTGAAGATAAAATATAATAAATTTATTGATATTTTTCACTAAATATTTGATTTGTACTTTTTTAATGTGAATTCAAATAGCAAAACGACTTCTCATAAAAGAATAAATAATATATTTTTGCTTGTAGTGATAATCGAATTATTTAAAATTCAATTTTCCCTGCATAATTTTAAAGATATCATAGTGTCCAATGCAATATTTCAAGAACAGGTACTATATNGTTTGTCTCTCGCGAACGCAGCTCACACTTAAAGTGTTGCCGGACACAGTGTTGTGGGTGGAAGCCCGTACTCCAGGAATTTGGCCAGGTCCCGCTTACTGCAGTCCGACCACAGGACACTGGTATCCAGTCCAGAAAGAGAAGCTGACATTAGGGTACCCCTTTTCCGCCGGCATGGTGAAGAACCTTGACCATCATGTATCATCCCAAAACTGAAAAAGAAACAGTTATGGAAGCGTCAAATATATGCTTAAATGTATTATATTAATTTAAAATTAAGTTTGTATAAATGACTAATTGTAAAACAAATCTAAATATTATATTACTGAAAATAGAGTTTATTATAGATTAATGGTCAATTAATTATATTGAATTTTCCAAATTTTTTTTTAAGTGTTGTTTGTAATCTTATTCTACGTGCTAAGCATTCTACTAAATTATAACATATGCTAAATAATCAAAATCACAATGAAAAATTAGATTTAATAAATTTCAGCGATTACATTGAAGATAAAATATTATAAATTTATGTATGTTTTATGCTAAATATTTGATTTTCACTTTTTTAATGTGAATTTAAAACACAAAAGGACTTGCTTGCTTTCGTATGCATGTTTGGGCAGAGGGGTGCGATTGTTCTTGTTTTCCGGTGGCGCCATCTATGATCAAGAATTCGACTTCTGCCACACCATATGTCACATCCGTTTATATTGCGGACCCATTCATACATCCATTAATTCATCCACAGATCGTAATTTTGACCTGAATCAGGGAACGATCGATTTCTAATCCAGTACCCCCAGAGGTATTGATTTGTTATAGAAATTATATTGCCCAGCGCCTTACCAACCAGGCTATCCTGGCCAATAAAAGGACTTCTCATGAAAGAATGAATAATAAATTTTTGCATATAGTGATAAACGAATAATTTAAAATTCAATATTCCCTGTATAATTCTAAAGATAGAAAATAGTGTCTAATACAATAATTATACAAAAGAGAGTTCGGATTTGATTTTATTAGTTAAATTAACAAACTCAGAGATAAAATTGTTTAACTGAATGATTTGAGATGGATAATAAATTGTGACCGTTAATCTAGTTTGACTAGCTGAGAGGTTAACTTACTTAATTGAATGAATTTTTAGGTAGAATTTAAATTGTTAATTAAATTTGATTACCTCAGACAAATTACTTAACCAAATGGACATAGAAATAAATAAATGTTTGCACCGAACTACCTAACTAAGAAATCTTATGTTATGGTTAGCGAATGGTGTCAAACGTGTTAAAATCATTAGAAAGATCTATATCAAAAATGAATAATTTAAAATAAAATTACTGTTTTCTTAATTTAAGAACTTAAGACATTTTTATTAAGTATGGAGAATTTACTTCGTTTTTAATTCAGTTCCTAATTTTATACGACGCCAATAAACTATAGTTTATGTTTTCTTTTCTAATTGTGCTACATACAGTTTCATATGTTTAGTTGCATTGTATTCAATTAAACATAGCATAGTATGATCTATAACAGTGGTTGCCAACTAGCAGGCAGCATCCGGCCCTCGAAGCCTTTTTTTGTGACCCGCGAACTAAAATATATTAGTTGTCATTTTTAGCGAAAAATTTTCGTAAAAAATCTATGTGGGTTTAAAGTACTTTTCTTTCGTTAAAAAAAACGTAATTTTTTCGTTTCTGTGAAATTTAACAAACCAACGGCGTAACCAATTTTTAAAAAGTATTTAACAAACCAATCAAACCGAATTTAACAAACCAATTTCTCAGGTTTTGCATCCAAGAAAATATTTATTCAAATACAGAAATAATCGTGTATGTTGCCTAAAAATCTACTTCTAATTTTAATTTGCAATTCAATACGTTTGTTTCGTACAACTTGATAAAAATCTGACAGTAATATTTAATGTTCCTTTAAACATAAAAGAGTCCTACATAAAACTTTGATAAAGTTGCGGCCCGCCATTAGACTGGTGTTTTTAATTGTGGCCCCCGGCCTCATGTAAGTTGGAAACCCTTGATCTATAACGATTGATTGAAAAAAAAAACTAATAAAGATATGTGAATAAAATAATAAGTTTAATTCAAAGCAATTTTTTAAAGTAGAAAAACTGATATATTTTGTTTTAAATACAAATAATTCCATTTTTACAATTAGTTTTTTTCAAACTGCGTTCGCATACGATTAAACTTTTCTTTGAAAGGATAACATTTTATCTTACTTGTGTCCTATTTCATGAGCCACAGTAAAAGCCAGAGCTAAGCCAGAATCTTCATTGATTGTGCAACTTCTGTACTTGCTGCACATGCCACTTATTGGAGCGTAACCTTAAAAATTTGAACTGAATTAACTCATAATGCTAATAAAAATCAATAAGATAGATTTTGATAGAAGAAGCCATTTTGTTGCTCGGCGTTTTGTTCGTTTCTTACCCAGAGTATCACATGGCTCATTTTTCCAAGAGCATATGTCCAACCCGGTAACTAGAACAGCATGATCGTGTTGGTGACCTTTACTCGTGTGGATAGTGGATTGCCACTGACAAAAGCTGTTTAGAGAATTTTCGGCATTATGAGACAAACTAAGTCCTGGCTGTAAAAATAAGTTTTTTTTATTTCCTATTTACCATGCAAACGTAGTACAAAGGAAATAAAAATAATAACAATCATACGAATAAATCAAAAGTTTTGAATAACGTTAGAAAATTTTAATTATTCATCTACAGTTAATTATACGTTTAATTATTCAGCAAGGCAGTTAAAAGTTGTAGAAACTGCTAACTATATTTTGTATTTAAAACATTAACTGAAAGCTTACAAAATAGTTTTAACCTGAAAAGTAAGTTAAATAAAACACATGTTTTAAGTGATTAGTTGAAGAAAATAATAAACATTATTATTTCGAAAATGCTTAAATTTCCCATTGGAAGTAAGTAACATTTATTTATTCTGCTATATGCCTCAGAAAAAAAAAGAAAGAAAGAAAGATTTTTTCATAATTCAATTACAAATTTCCTTAAATATATCGAAACAGCAATTTCATGTTTTTTATTATCCTCTTCATTTTTCTTTTTCAATAAATATTCAAAAAGTTTAATTAAAAACAGTTGAAAAGAGAGGAGCATGGAATAAACATTGACTTTATAAGTAGTTTCAATTTTAGATCATTCTAGGAAATGTTTTGTAATTAATTTCCACTATATCATTCCTAAATTAATTCTTTTTGTGATATTCCAAAACAACTGGAATACTTCTTAGGTATAAAGAAGTTACAACGCGTAAAAGATAATACAATCAATTATCAGAAAGCATTAATAGCTGGTTTTTTCACTTTTTTATTACTTCATAGCTTTAGATATGAAACTCCGCCTTATTTCTAGGTAATAGTTAAATGCCTTCATAAACTCAACAAACTGAAGAAAAAAATATTTATTTACCTCGTCTCCTTCTAGTAAAACGAGTCCAACTAAAATAACGCTGACATTGCTACCAACAGTTGAATCTTGATACAGCATAGCTACCTATAAAAATGGGAATTTACAGATCATTGGAATGGGATAGATGAACTATACTGTGTCAAAACAAACAAACATATTTTTGCTGATAACTCAATAATTAGTACCAAAATCAAGTGAAATTTCATAGAAAAATACATAAAAGTATATTAAAAAACAAAAGTAAAAGGTAATAAAGAGAAATTTTTGATGGTTTTCCATTGATGAACCAACATAATCTTGATGGTAATCATCAATAATTCCATCATGAACCATTATATTTTTGATGGTAAGCAACATAAGAAACCATCACCCCTATGTAGAAATTTGGACAGATTTATGATGGTACAACGTAAGAATAGCAATTTGTTTCGATGGTTTGTTCATGTTGAATCATCAAATTTTCATTATAATTTTCTTAGAAATTACATGTTGGAACGATCATGAACCACCATCACCCCATTGTAGGAATTCGGACTGATTTTTGATGGGCCAACATAGAAGAAAATTGTTTTGATGGTCAATAACACCATCAAATCCTGAGAACCAGAAAGAATTTCCATTAAACCATCATGAAAATGTATAGTTGGAACCATCACGATTGTTGGCCCATGAGAACCAAACTTCTCTTAATGGTTAACCATCTTAGTATTAAAGTAGCATTTTCCATCATGGATTGATATAAGTTTGTTGGCGTATCAAAAACCATGAATGAATAATGTAAAATGTTGGATGATGTTGACCATCAAATGATGTTGGACTATCATGAATGGCACTGAAACCAACATTAACTATCAAATTATTTTGATGGAACTATCAATAATTTTGACTTGGGGCACAACAAGGTTGCCCTATTAATGGTGCAGAAAAATTACTATTGAGTATGAACTCCCTTAACGGTTATGCAGCTCTCTCAAATGTTTTGGGCCATTAAATTACACTATCACCAAGGCCTGTTTTAGTCTGAGGAGATTTCTTGGAGGAGCTGGTGAACTGCAATTGATCTTCCAACCCAACTTTGTTAACACGCGTGTAGTTAACGATAAAATTGAACTTCGAAGTGCTCAAAACAATCTTATATAGGGCTCTAAGAATTTAACCATATATCTCAGAGAAGTCTGAGTGTCTGCCTGACAGTGTCTTCCGGGCACAGGACAACTACCTGAACTTGCTAGTAATATCAGATGTGGGCACGTTTGAAAAGGGCCTATGCTCTCTTCACTGATCTATCTCAATCCTGTCTGAAAAATAATTTTCCACTTTTTCACATATGTTGAGAACCGTGGAGAACCTTTCAACTTCATTATATTGGGTCACCATGGAGGTCAGGGCTTTATGGTGTAGGCCGATTTGATGTTAAACAGTCCCACAGACCTGACTTCTCTGAGGTATGGGACTGAGTTAGTAGAGTCCTATGTAAGATTGTTCGGAGACACTGTCAATCTTCACTATATTTTCGTGAACGACAGCACACACTCGCAGGCTTTGTTGCTCAATAAATACCTACTCAGGCAATAGAAGGGCTAGCCAAAACTCTAGGCTTGGATTCCATCGAAAATATCAGCTCACCAACTCCTCTCTCAAACCTACCGGTGTTTTTTTTAAAAAAAAAACAGTCTTACTGAAGGAGGGAAATATTTTGTCCCAAGGCTTATTTGCTCTAAAACATCGCTATTTTCTCAGTAAAGTGTGAGTTCATTGTTAGACGTGCATTGTCGTCAGGGGAGGAGTCATACCCCAGATTAAACCCTACACTAGTTCATGACCTTAAGATCTTTTCTATTTTTAATTAAAATAAAAATGTTTAAGAAATGTATGTAGTTAAATGCAAAACCACTTCGGTGGGGAATGCGTGGTTTGTGTAATATGAAAAACGTGTTTTTTAAAAGATGATTATGTAATTTTGAGCAATTTAATTATGTCCTAGTTTTGCATCTTTACTTAAGATCTTCAAGCATTGTATATACTCAGTGTGTGAGTCATAGTCAGTCGATGTCCATTCATGCTGTCGTCTATCATAAAATAATACTGAGAAGCAAACTCAATTGGGGGGAAAAAGGAGTAATTTTCGAAACTTTGCCGATTTCACCGAGTTTTTTTTTAAATTTCCAATTAGTTCATTTAATTGAGCATTATGTTTACATTTAAAGAGGGGAATAAAAAATGAATATAGGAACTGAAATAATGTATTAATTAGAAACACTAATACAAGTGAAATACATTACCATATTAAATACAGTTAGTAAATATGTTGTGACATTTTCAGTTCCATGTTTCTGAACCATCTCTCTATCAGCTACAACCAGTGTTTCAACGCTCCTACGCTTCTTTCTGTATTGGGAATGTCTCCTTTTGTCTCCTTCCCTCGTAGTCTTATGACCATCAGCCCAACGCTTTGTTCTACCTTTGACTGAATTGTTTTGCGACTTTTCAAAAGCAAATTCCNGCAGGAGGTGGTGAACTGCAATTGATCTTCCAACCCAACTTTGCGAGCACGCATGTAGTCATCCGTAAAATTGAACTTCATAGTGCTCAAAACAATCTTACATAGGGCTCTAAGAATTCAGCCATGTATATCAGAGCTGGCACTCTGGGGCACAGAACAACCACCGGAACTTGCTAGCAATATTAGAAGTGAGCACGTTTGAAAATGTCAATCCTGTCTGCAAAATAATTTTCGACTTTTTCACATATGTTGGGAACCACGGACGCAGTACCATCCTTTCAACATCATGATATTTGGTCACTATGGAGGCCAGGGTTTTATGGTGTAGGCCGGTTTTATGTTAAATGCTCCCACAGACCTGACTTCTCTGAGGTATGGGACTGAATTAGTAGAGTCCTATGTAAGATTGTTCTGAGGCACTGTCAATCTTCACTTCATTTTCGTGAATGACAGCACACACCAGCAGGCTTTGTTGCTCAAGAAATACCTACTCAGGGAATAGAAGGGCTAGCCAAAACTCTAGGCATGAATTCCATTGAAAATATCAGCTCACCAACTCTTCTCTCAAACCTACCTGTGTTAAAAAAGAACAGTCTTACTGAAGGAGGGAGATATCTTGTCCCAAGGCTTTAGATTATTTGTTCTAAAACCTTACCATTTTCTCAATAAAGTGAGAGTTCATTGTTAGACGTGCGTTGCAGTCAGGGGAGGAGTTATACCCCAGAAACCCTATACTAGTTTGTGACCCAAAGATTTTTTTAAAATTAAAATAAAAATGCTTAAGAAATGCATGTAGTTAAATGCAAAACCACTTCTGTGGAGAATGCGTGGTTTGTGTAACATGAAAAACGTGTTTTCTAAAAGATAATTATGTAATTTTGAGCAATTTAATTATGTCCTAGTTTTGCATTTCTACTTAAGATCTTCAAGCATTATATATACTCGGTGTGTGGGTTATAGTCAGTCGATGTCCATTCATGGTGTCGTTTATCATAAAATAATACTGAGAAGCAAACTCAATTGGGGGGAAAAAGGAGTAATTTTCGAAACTTTGCCGATTTCACAGAGTTATTTTTTTATATTTCCTATTAGTTTATTTAATTGAGTATTCTCTTTACATTTAAAGAGGGGAATAAAAACTGAATATAGGAACTGAAATAATTCATTAGTTAGAAACACTAATACAAATGAAATACATTACCATATTAAATACAGTTAGTAAATATGTTGTGACGTTTTCAGTTCCATGTTTCTGAACCATCTCTCTATCAGCTACAACCAGTGTTTCAACGCTCCTACGCTTCTTTCTGTATTGGGAATGTCTCCTTTTGTCTCCTTCCCTCGTAGTCTTATGACCATCAGCCCAACGCTTTGTTCTACCTTTGACTGAATTGTTTTGCGACTTTTCAAAAGCAAATTCCCCGGGAAGCCAGTGGTCTTTCCTTCTTGGTCGATGAGGCATGTCTGAAAAATCATCAAGTGTCGACATGCTGTTACTATATACGCATAATTTGTGGGATGATAATTTTGAAAAATTCGCTCATAATTTTGCATAATTGTTGGGTGCTTAATGATTAAAATTTCCGTCGAATTTAATCATTAGGCTATTGAAAGCATGTCCAAAAAGTATGGAGATGATCGAATATCTCAAGAAATATTCTATAATCGAAAATTCTATTATCTAAAAATAAAAGTGCGAAATATTTTCAAAGCATGCAAACTCGGACAGCAAGCCACCCTCTGAGGGTGAGGACAACTTAAAAGTACTAAAAAGAAACCCTTATTTTTAATTGCAGATTTGAGTTCTGCGAAAAAAGTGCATTGATTTGTCCTATAGGCTTTAGCTCGTCACAAATATTGCTACTGCAATCAAAAGATAAAGGATAAATACATGTTATATCGGAAAATAAAATAGATGAATTTGATATATCAAAAAACCTATCTAATGACATCAATCTCAATCATACCCCGAAACTTGGCTCCGCTCCCAATTTCAGCCCTCTCCTCCCTTTGAGTCGCAAGGCAAATCGCGAAAGAACGAGTTTGAGAGTGGGGTCGAATTTAGTGTCATGGGATGAGGAGGGCTTATATAGTTTGTTTAAGCTAAGAACTCCTCCCGCCACAAAGCCTGAGGCTATCTGGTGCTACGGAAACAAGAATGGCGCATTTTAGGGAGGGTAGCTTCACGCTAGCAATAACACAATAGACCGAAGAAAGAGATTCCCTTTCTCTCGCCGACCCAAGCTGAAACCACTCCAAAACTGTTACCCCGCACCCCTATTTGAAATAGTCATACCTCGTTACCATGATCACCGCCACAAGTCCAGGTCTGGACCTGTGGCGGTGATCATAGTAATGAGGTAACGAGGATCATGAGGCATGGTGACGAGGATCATGGTAACGGTGATCATGCTAAAGTAAGTCTGACGAATGTCTGGGGGAGTTCTTATTTTAGACAAACTTTTTTTTTAAAAAAAAGTACTGCTGTAAAAGTTTTTTTTTAAAAAAAAGTACTGCAGTTAATACATGGACGAACTTAAAGTGAAAAACGAGATGTTTTTTTTTCGATTTCAAATAATAAAATAAACATTCTAAAATTTAAATTTTTCAAGTAAACTAAAAATAGTAGTTTACTTTGCTTAGACCTATTAAAACTATAAACGTAGGTCGCGTCTATTTCGAAAGACGTAAGACTTTCGGTGGTGATAGAGGTTTATTACGAAGGTTATACGCTATGTTTTTTTCGTTTTAGGTCTTAAAAACTAAAATTATTTCTCCTATCTAAGTATATATAAAATATACTATACAAAGAATATGTATTATCTTTTATGTTATTATTTTTAGCGTTATGCCTGTTAGTTTGTTCATGCCAGAAAATGGTCGGAATTTCGATTGGAGAGATATTTATCTAGCACTTTTTTCGAAACGATTGAACTCGAGTTGAAAATTCAAAATTCCAGCTAGTCAGGAAAAGGTTGAAAAGTTTCCTGCAGCATAATATAACAACGAATTCTGCTTTCAGTGATCAAGAAATGATTAAAATTTATGTTGTCATCTGGCACTAAAAAATATTAATTAATAATATTCTGCTAAAAGATATTAGAAAACTGTTGAAAATTGCATTGTCATCAGGCTGGAGTACTTACTGATTAAGTACTTTAGGTAGTCGGAAAATAGTTGGAATTTCGCAAGCGAAATTCCACCTTTATGTCTATATTTCGATGGCTTCGTCATAGTATTAATTGATGCTTTTTTACGAATAATATACTATTTTTAGAACTACCGTGAGTTTGTAACTGTTACTCATGACTGTTAGGTGAAGTTTAGCTATCCAAAGCCAACGCTGTCTACGCTTATTTTAAAAATGACGCAAAATGTCAATATAGTGAAAAACCACAATTTTGTGAAAATGAAAAAGGCTTGTAGTCTAATTTTTTAATATTTAAAAATTTACTCCAATGCTGCATTTCTTGGTCTCATAAAAATTTGCAAAAACCGAGAATAAGGCAGTGATTTTGATAATTTTCATCTAGATGAGAAAATGGCGCCAAATTGGTGATTTTTAAAAAAAGTTTAATAACTTTTCAAAAATTTAAGCTATTTTTCTGTTCTAAAGCCCAGATAAACGGCAAGATTATGCATATATTTTAAAACCATTGCATTGCTAAGTCACTTAAACTGTATTTTTTTTTATTATCTTGGCGCAGAGCTTTGAAAAACAGCGTTCTAGACACAAGAGCGATATAAGAAAAACGTAGTAAAAAATACTTACACCTTCGTTTTTTTCCACAAAAGAATTTCTGATCTTCCTCCTTAATACTTTCCTTTTCCAATTCACTTGCCAATGGCACAGTAACAGATCTTTTGGACAATACGTGAGGTGTGGCTGTTGCAAAACTATCTTCTTCATTGTGATTTACAGGTTCGAGTAAATAATCAGAATCTTCCGTTTTCAACATACCTCTCTGTAGATTTAAATATTGAAAAATTAAAATAAAATACACACTTACAGCATTTTTATCATTTGCAGCGCATTTACTATACACTTGTTTCTTGAAAAGTATAAAATTTTATTAAAATATATAATAATACTTTCGTTACAAAATATAATTGTTTAAGAATAAAGGAAAAATGTTTTTTTGAATGCATGCGTTGTAAATTAAACGATATGCTTGTTGGGCACAGACTTGCAATATTGACTTGGCATTTAGTCAGTTTTATTGTTATTTACATCAAATTACAAATTAACGTATCTTACTTAAACATATAACACCACCACCGTGCGTATGAAAATCAGATCTTGGAATGACCCTGATATAAAATGACTTTCTGAATTCAAATATGTGGAATGTTTTCTTAAAACCCCTTCCACTTATATTTATCAATTCTTTTCCTTGCTAAAAATGTTCATGTTTTAAATTTTTTATCCCTTTAGCCCCCTTGGTAGAATTTTAACGGTTAAAATTATGAGCTTTGAAGAGGGTTTTGCCCAAAATATCTTGGGTGAGGGAGGAAAACATAATTCATATCCGGATTCTGATCATTGCACTTTTTCAAATATATTGCTGAAATCAGGGATTAATTTTAAATAACTAAGAATATTTGAGCTGAACCTTATGTTTTGAGGGTGTTTTTCTGATTTTCTCGTTATTTTTAGAAAGTTCTTTTGCTTGCAAATCTAATGAGCATTTAACCTCGTATAAAAACTCATTTGCTGCTGAGAACACTATAGCAAGTATTGATAACAAGCGTTCGACCGTTCAGTATTGAAGACAATAAGAATCTGTTTCAGTTAACTGAGTTGGGTTCAGTCCAAATTTCCCACCGTAGATAGAACGGAAATCGACTTAAATGTTGTAGTTCGTAAATCTCATCTGTAAAACAAGTTGCCCGAGACGGCGGGAAAACATTACTCACCAGGTTGTTGTCACTTGCCGCTAATTTTGAAGACAATTTGGCAAAACCACAAGTATTTTTACGCCAAAGAGAGACAGAATCTGTTCTAATAGCTCATTTCGTGTCTTTAGAAAATGCAGCTGCAGATGAATGAGCATAAGCAAAGTTCTGTGAATCACAGTTTCAAGTAACTAAGAATGCGATTGCTAATAACAGAATATTTTTCAAAACACCATACAAAAAAGTTTTTTTTTACAATTTTCAAATATAGAAAAAATATAAATTTGCGGAATTCGTTCGTGAAAGTACAGTTTCAAGTAACTAAGAATGCGATTGCTAGTAACAGAATAGTTTTTTAAAAAAACATACAAAAAAGTTTTTTTTTTTTAATTTTCAAACATAGAAAAAAAAATACAAATTTGTGCAATTCGTTAATAAAAGTAAATTTTTTTATTAAAAAAACTAAATTTTTAGCCTTTGCACTTAGGTTACAACTAATTGTTATTGTTGTAAAGTCACCTGAAAAATTATATAGATGTATAAGGATTTCCCTATATATGTTTAGTATATATGTTATATATATGTTTATAATCCTTTTAAAAATATACAAATCATGAGAATTTTAAGTTTAATATTTACGCTATCGAATTAAAGCAAAAACAGTATAGAAATCTAATCAATCTCTGTTAAAAAAAGTGTAAAACAGGTTTGATTACTGGACTAAATGGAGAGAAATTGGAAGGTGATTATTAGAAACTGCTCCTAGTTTCGTAAGGCAATTCGTTCAGTTAGGATGTTTTTCATTCTGCCATCTTTAATATAATGATTTGAGAGATATTACTTATATGTTTGCTTCCTTTCCTTTAAATATAAGTTTTCTAAACCTAATCTGCGGAAGGGGTTTACTTCTCTTTTGACAGGAATTCGAAAAATATATATTAAAAGCAGTCGTTGCGTAACTCTCTGGATTTATACCAGCTTTTGAGAGCGAAAAGGAATATAATTTTATAATGATGAAATGTGTTTCATAAACAGTTAAAATAAATTTTTTTAAAAATACATTTAAATTTTACTTAAAAAAATACTTTTTTTAAAAATTTTACAAGACTTTTGAATTTTAGGAATTAATATAAAATGATGCCTAATTCTAATAAATATTTTTCGAAATAATCATTGAAATTAATAATAAAACATTCCTTCAATCAATTCAAAAATTCGTACTTGGAGAATTAGAAAAACTAAACTTTGGATTGTTTCCTTGTTTAAGTTTATATCAAAACATTTTAAAACGAATTATACCAAAGACTATACATAAAATATATACCGGAGACGTGAACAAAAAGTAATTCAGATCTAATCTAAATTAAACTCTAACAACAGTCTAAAATGGGTAAAGAATTTCTGAAACAGTACAAGAAACTTCAGTTCAAACTAAAACTTTAGCTCGCCATTATTTTTAAAATATGAATAGTTATGGTATAAATTTCTCTGGAGACCAAAATGATAAAAGACTAGAAAACTGAAGTATACTTATTGTGAAAAATAATAATCACAATAATAAATAAATAAATAAAACAAATAATAAATCTCAAGGACATAATTTTAAAAATTTGCGAACTAAATGGTTTGACGCGATTTCTTCCAGATCTATAGCATTAAAATGTAAATTCTCAATTCTGAAAAAAATGCGTTACTAACTCATCATTTTACAGAATTAAGCTTACTTGGTAGCACTAAATATTCTATCGCCAATGGCTAACTTGCGAGTGGAAATTTTGCACCCTATTCTAGTGAGTAAAGTAAAAAGAAATAATACAAAAACGAATCTAAGCTTTGTTACTGAAAAAAAAAATCAAGAAAACTCTTCTTTATAAAAACTTAAGACTTTTGACCTGTACATATATTCCGCCTATAGCTTATACACACAAACATTTATATGGTATCATTACAGTATTTCATTGCGAATCAAATAGTGTCATTACAATGACTCACCATTCCACCACATAAATTCAGAGCCACTGCAGAGTTAGGGCGATTCTTTATCTGACCCCGAAACAAACACTTTTCCAGATCTCGTTTGTCTTTTTTATAACCACGAGATGAATTTCCACCCAAATGATATACTTTGAAAGTTGGCGCGAGAAGGTCAGGTTCAGACTGCACCTCCAGATGGAAACGTTCTCGAAGACCTTCCAGAATGAAATATCTTCGATTGGAACTGTGAATGTCTCTTCTGGCTCGAATGCCATGCTCACCTAGTGGTTCGCCATTTTCATTCACTTCGATGGGGGTGATGATTTCCTGATCTGAAAAAGTTTTGATGTATAAATGAACAAGACACATAGCAACGATTTAAAATGTAGGGAATATTAAAATTGTCGATTAGCATTCGTAGGGAATTAGAACAGGATGCTTCCTTTTTTATGTTAATGTGATGGTGACATAAATATAAAAAACGCGATTATGTATATAAGTATTTAAATCTGATTTTATCACCATCTGTTGAATTACTACAATAATAATGCGGATGTGTTGCACTCAAAATTAAACTTTGCAAACTTGCTATTTAGAATATATTACAATTTAGAGTTAAGTTTTAAGATGAATTCTACTTCGAAGAGGATTTTTAGAATTATCTAAGCCCGTATTTGTTCCAATTCATATTACGCTTTCAATCGGTGATATTTTATGCCTGTATTGTTGTTAGTGTAGGCCTTTGCCGCTATACGATTCAACCAGCTATTGCTGGGATATGAACCTGTATAGTCTATAGCTTCATGCCATTTTTTTCAAATCATGTGCTAATTATTGATGACGAGTTCAGACGCGTCATATAACTAGATCATTTTTATACTAGCTTACGCTCACAGATAAGTATAGAATTTGCTTTCGCTTAGGAAAGAAAATGAATAACATTATCATATAGTTTAAAGAATTAATGTACTACGTCAGTAGACAGTTTAATGTAGCACCAGTTTATGATAATCGGAAATTAATTTTTGTTCAAGATGGTGATCACTTTATGATAGTGCTATAGCCTCAAGAAAGTCTCGTATGGAGAACAAATTATGGAACACAGTAGATGGCACTGAGAACAGCTTGAACATGGCCCTAGTGTGTGTTTATTTTATTTTATAACTGTCGTTGAGAGCCGACTCAATTATGAGTTTATGGTTGCCGATGTTCAACTCCCTTGCCATGTAATTTAGAATCCAATTCATGAGACAAGGGAACTCCTGGATAAAGTATTAGAAGAAATTTGTCTTTGTGGAGGACTTTTTGCTCGAACTAACTCGTATTTGCGTTACATGGGGAAGAAAACCACTAGGACCTCCACGGTTAGCCTGACGTCAAAGGGATTCTAACCCATGATCCGTCTGCCACTGAGGATATTTCACGTCAGCACTGTGGTTGGTGCAAGCTGGATTCGGTTTCGTATGGACCAGCCATCTCTGGTATTCGAACCCGGTTCAACTCATTGGAAGGTGAACGCTCTATTCCCTGAGTGTCCACAGATCTGAGCTGATTATTCAACAAATTTAACTTGTACTTTTTGTAAATCGCATGTTATAATTGATTCTTCAATGTTCTGCGTCAAGCGTAATGACAGAAAGGGAAATAGCAGAAAAAAATTTACTTATTTGAGATTGCGAGCAATAACTACACACATACTTCGTTATTATTTTACTAATACTTTGGCATGGATATTAATAAAATTGCGCAAATCAGAATATTTTGGATAACTTTTTCAACTATTTTACAACCTTGTTTAACAACAATGTCAACGTTTAACAACTTTGGTAAGTTCATACTTAATTAAAATCAACAACAATGCCCTTCATGAAGTATTACTTTCATACAATTATATTAGACAAATACTTGATGAAGTAGCATGACTTCATGAAGTATCATTTTCATACATTAGAAAAATACTTGATGAAGTATCATTTTCATATAATTATATTAGAAAAATACTAGCATCATGACTTCATGGAGTGTCATTTTCAAATTTCATGCAATTATATTAGAAAATTACTGTTTGATGTCTCGAAATCTATTTATTATATATATATATGAATTTTATAATATGATATAATATGAATTTTGTTTTTCAAAACTAAAAGAAATGATCTTACCAAAACTATTTACAGTACTTTTTACTTCAGCAAATAAACCTTGTTGCTCCTTGTCTCCAGTAGCAAGTATCTAAAATTGGCATGAAAATCATTTTTATTACTTTAAAACTCAATAATTATATGTTTAACAAAACTTGAAAGGATAATAGTTAATATTTAAGGTATAAAAGAGAGGGGTATTAAACATTTAACGAAAAAAACTAGCCGCCTTCGGTGACCACCTTTATTACCTCTTAAAATTACCTTATACAACATATAAACTTTAATGGTAACCAAACCGAATGCACAGCACTACTGTACTCAAATATTCTAATTCCTCAACCCTTCCTCTAATCCTAAGACCTTAATTATTTTTAAACAATATGATAACCAAATTTTTTCCTCGTCTAGCCGTTGTCTGTGAGAAAGTACATGATTACAATTTTAACTATTTTCAAGAGATGTACTCAATATTATCTAAGTTGTTTATGTAGTTAATTTTAGTAAAAACTTTTTAGCCGCCATTAAATCACAAAAACCACGATACATNAAAGGAAACAGACATTTACTAAAAATACCGACTAAGCAAGGGATCGACATATATACAGATTAAAATGTAATATAATTACGGTATAATTACCTGTATTTGAATAAATTTAATAACAGCAATTAAATATTTAATATTTAAACTCGAAATATCTAGACAAGGCACTTAAGTCAATGTAATTTCAATTACACGTTTGTGTTAATTTTCCATAAATAAATAAAAAAAGAACAAAATGAAGTAATATTCAAATTGTAAAAAGCAACTTTAAAACTTTGTGATATGAACTTAATTATAATATTTATAAGGCCTTAAATCTTTCAAAACAGGATCATGAGTAAATCAGTAGATGACACTTAACAGTAAATAATCAGCAGGGCCTGATTAATCGAAACAGTAGTTCTAGATAAAATGCCTTGAGTTGTGAATGCCTGAACATTTATTAACCTTCCGTAAATTTATGTATCAAATTTTAAGGACCACTACAATATGAAGTCCTTGATAACCAGTACCCTTAAAAACGAGTCCGACAACCTTTAATGAAAAAATAATCTATTACGAACTAAAGGCAATAGCCTCTAAATAGATTATATCTACTTAAAAAACCAACTATAAGCATATCGCATTACATATTCATATTTAAATGAAGCATTTAATCGTAATTATTATAATAAATGTCATTAACAAACCTCACAGCATGAAAGTAAAAACATTTAGTCAATTTAATTGAAAACATTATCTTTATCAACGGAATCAAAATTGATTATTTATAATTACTATGCTGAACATAAAAGGATCTGTCAACAGTTTTTAATCAACGTTTCATCAACATTTTTTTTACGATGTCTCACGTTTTTATCGACATATCAATCTTTCTTTCAACATTTTAACCATTCCAGACGTCAAACGGGCCACCACAGGGATGAACCACCAAATTATATTTCGATTATATCTAACCATATCAGGTTTTCTGTCACCGTATCCGCAAGCCATCTAAACGATTCAAATTACATTTTACCTTCCGAAAAAATGTCTCATTTGATATGAGTTGACAGATGCGACGTATGCAAATGTAACATACGCAATCAGTGGCTATCATCAGCAGCTGTTGTGATTGATTCGAAGTTTACAAGACAGATATTTGATTGTGCTTTTATTCCTCAACGTTTAAGCGTTTTCATATACTTTTACGTTACGGGATAATAGCAATACGATATGAAATTATTTCATTTATGCAAATTATGAAATTATTCCAATCAAGTATCTGTCTTGAAAACGTCAACTCAATTACAAACTTGGTATTAATATTTTTATATTAATATTAAAATTTTATTTTTTAACAACTTAAAATTTCATCATAACGTCTTACGCAGAAATTGTATTAATATGTTTGTCATATTTTTCTGTATATGGAACAAAAGCTTTGAAATGTCAAAAACAAAACGATTGTGTTTTTTTTTTCATTTACAGAATCGTTTGCTCAAATCATTTTTTCTTGCTTAAATTTTATTTATTTATTTTTGTTGAGCAAACGATTTATTGATGTTCAAAAAATCCGAAATTATTTTAAATTTGACATTTAAGAACTTTTTTTTTGGAATGAAGCACAGAGAATTATTATAGGCACACAATTGGGTACTTTCATTTCATGAAGAAGACGATCACAGATACCCACACTTGTGACCTATGATGTCAGCGCCAGTAGATCGTTTTTAAGCAAAATGGAGTGTGTAAGTTGAGCTAAATTTCTACATAAGTTAGAATGTTAATTAACGTGAAGTTAATGAAATGCAGCCCCGTATCGAACATAGAATTTGTTGAAATATAATTCTTTCTCTTCTACATCTTTTATTTAGCTTTGATTTATTATTTGTTTATGTATTTCATAGTAATATTGATATATTTTTGCTTTGTGTATCTGGCAACTTCAATGCCTAATTAGTTTGTTTACGTTGTTCTGTCTTTGTGTTAAGTAAAAAATATATAATGAAAGAATTGAAATCTTTTTGAAAGAATATAGAATGAGTCATTTAACTGATACTTGATGGGCTTAGTTTACTCGAAATAGAATGGAAAGAACAGTTGCTAAAAAAGTTGTTAAGAGAAAGAAACAGGAAAAATGCACTGTTGTCTCGTCACCGTGATATGTCACTAATTACCCGTCTAGAGAATGAAATAAGATATATATGATATCCAGATAATACGTTATTCTACAACAAAATTTCGTAAGTCTGTGACAATTTAAAAATCAGTTTTACCAAATTATATAAATATTACATTTGAATGAAATATGGCATATCAAAGCACTGTTTTGAGTTGCAAGTTATTTTACTCCAATAATTCGTAAAATACGAAAAGTTTAAAAATTAATCTTGCATATTTGTATAGAAAATATGTGTAACAAATTTCTTACATTTAAAATTTAAGTGAAAATAATCCGAGACATTTGAATTTTATGATACAATTTCGTTTGCTTACAACACTGCTTGGTTATTATTTTATTACTTTCAACGAGTAAACTTGTTTAAATAATAAAAGTAACTATTATTTTATAACCAAGTTAGTTTTTTTATAACCAACAAAGTCTTCATTACCAATGAAAAATAATAATGTTATAAATATCAGTGTATACGTGTTACATTCACAAACGTTCAGGCGAAGATACTTAAACTTGTAACGATGCATTCAGTATTTTCAAAAACAAAATTTATAAAAAGCGATTAACAAACAAACTTATTTCAAAACTATAAACCAAAATAAACTTAACTAACTTCCTTTCTTATGAGGAGGAAATAAGTAAATCATTTGGTTTAGAATCATTTACTTATTTCTTATGATCACTGAGATACTTTTTTTTGTAAAATCTGTAAAAATGATCAATATATATTCTTAAACTTAGGGCGTTGTTCTCTCAGTTGAATCATTCGTATAATGAAATATCTACCATTTTATTGGTCTTTGGAATTTTTCTCCTACTATTTAAACGCTGACAAATGAAATATAAATCTAGTTTAAGAACTCTAAGACTATTTTCTTGTGAGTTCAACATCCTCAAAATTGTTCAAAGTTTTATAAAGAATTTGAAGTAAATAACTTTTAGAATAGTTTATTGCTACGTTAACCTCAAACCTGACTTTTTCTCCTTCTTGTCATTTAGAAATTTTTCCGAGCATCGTGAGGAAAAAAATAAAAAGATTATTAAATCTTAATATATTTTATTTTTGAATGCTATATTAAAAAATGAGCAGAGCAAATTTAATAATAGTGAGAATTTAATAATAGTGATCATTTTAATTGAAAAGCTTCGAAATTTAAATATTTTATCAAGTAAAACTTTTAATCCAAGAGAAGAGAATATTGCAAAAAAATCGGGAGTTTTAATATTTGCGATAATAATGGACGGTATGGTCAAAACTATAGAAGAAACATTGTTTTCGACATATATGGAACAAAACTTATTAGCTGTTGGCATGTTTTATCCGTTTAATATTTTTTATAGGCTGACCCACATAGAACTATAGAAAGGATATTGGTTTAGACAGATATGGAACAAAACTTATTAGCTGTTAGCATGTTTTATAAGTTTAATATTTTTTATAGGCTGACCCACATAGAAGAACTAATTATAGAAGGGATATTTTATTAACAGATATGGAACAAAATTTATTAATTTGCTATTTGTATGTTCTGTCCCTTTAATATTTTTGATAATATTTAGTTACCCGCAGAAAATTATAACCAGGATGTAAGTTTAAAAGACAGATATTAAATAAAATTCATTAGCTATTTGAATTTTTAATCAGAATTTACGATTGTCTGCTTGTCTGACCTGATGCGCTGGATTCTAGATTCATTCTAATAAATGGCCACCTAGTCTAAATTAGCAGGGAATGAAATGATTCTGAAAAACTCTTTACCTTTCTTATCAATGTGACTATAACGGACATAGTTTGATAAAAACACAATATCAGAATACTCTTAGGAAAGTATTCTGATATTGTATTTTTATCAAACTATGTTAAAATGAATAAGAAAGGTTCTGAAAACACAATATCAGAATACTTTCCTAAGTGTATTACGATATTGTGTTTTTATCAAACTATGTTAAAATAAATAAGAAAGGTTCTGAAAACACAATATCAAAATACTTTCCTAAGAGTATTCTGATATTGTGTTTTTATCAAACTATGTTAAAATAAATAAGAAAGGGTTTTTTTTTTTAATATAAAAAATGTCATTGTAGCATAAATTTCTCTGTGGTTTACCTACAGAGGATATCATACTCTATTACAATATATATGCCGTTGGAGAATGTGCAAAATAGGCAAAGACCGATTCATTCAGAATATATCATTCAATTCTAGTGTTGATTGCAAACAAAAGTTTTCGCCAAACTCAAACAGACGAGGAATATATCTCTCAAATGATCTTCAAATCTTTGTTGAAAATGGAACCTTGCCAGATCTGCAAAACTTTTTTAAAAAAACTCTTTTCTTGTGTAAAAACATGTCTACAAGACAGTCGTGTGTAAAAACAGTTTTGTCTTT